TTGCCATAATCTTCAAGTATGCATTTTTACATAATTCAAAATATATACATAGGAAAAAAAAGCCATTCCCGTGTAATAGAAGATGACAAGACAATGGTAAACTTTGTTCTCACCATGGCGATCACTGGTCCAGAGCTCATATATTTTACAAGACGCTCGTAGAATGGCCGGTCTCGAAGGGCGATGTAATGCTCCTTCAACAATACCTGTGATGCCTGTGAGAAAAGATGGAAAAAGTCAGACACAGCTCCAGAGTACACACATTACACATAGCCAGGGATGGACAAGTCCCCAATACAGGCAGCCAATGTGTCTGAAACACTGCTGTTCACACCCAGTTCCTTAAAACTGAGCTCAAAACCAATATAAAAGTCAAATTATTACAGCTCTGTATTTATTAAAACAGCACTGCATGCTCGCTGTCCCCTGTACAGCAGAGCTCAGAGCAGGTAATGGAAAAGAAGCACAAGGAGCCAATCAGTTGCAATGAACATGCTAATAAGAAGAGAGAGGAGAATAATGGACTCATCAGTCTGCTGCTTCTCCCTTACGGTCCAGTCACAGGTTGAAGGAATGCTCTGACCTGTAAGTGGTACTTAAAAGCAGCAGACAAAAATCAGGGTTGTGTTTTGTGGCAGAGCTGTGTAAATCTCAGAACTGGATAGGCAGACGTACAAATCTTTTATCAGATATACTGTATGTACTTAATCAGTGTATTTGGCTGTTGGCCTGGACTTCCTTTCAATAGAAGCAGTATTCTCTTTGCCTTCCAGATTTTTACAGACTGTCTCCCAAATACAACCTTAAAGCCGCACTCCGGGCAGATTGATCATTTAGACATTGCGCTGGGTGTGTAAACTATCATTAAAAAGCTGGGTGTTTACAAGGTTCTTGTGCTGTGGTGCTGGCTCCCTGCACGAATAGCTAAAAGGTAATCCCAACATATTGCCATAAATGGGGTTGTGACCAACTGTGGGATTTTTGCACCTTTGGTGGACATGTCCCAAATTGACTTCCTTTTGATCCAGGGTTCATGGCTGGATATATTCCCTTTTTCATGTTTCTGTCTGTAAGGACCCACGTGCAGCCCTCTTACACCATACAATTCCTGGTCTTTCATCATCCCAACAGACATCACTTACCTATCCTAGCAGACAATCGCTAGGGCGTGGAAGTCTTTAATGGTCCCCTTTCAGGAAGTTTGCTCTCGCATGAACTCAATATTGATCAACGAGAAGATGTCGCGTGTGCTCCATGATACCTATGCCAAATTCCTTAGGATTTGGGATCCTTGACTCTCCTATGCCCTCCGGACCCATGATCCAGCTGGTTTGCATTGTTCATGATCAGCTTTAAACAGCCCCGATGCTGGCGACGTACACTGTACGTCGTCAGTCACGAAGGGGTTAAGCCCTTCATTGTCTACCTTTTATTTTCTATTTTCCTTTCCCCTACACCTGCTGCTCTTAGGGGAATTGCCCCCTGTTCTTACATCTTAGTATATTCCTTATCCTTGTAACCTACGCAGAAGGTCTTTCAGGAGTATATGGTTTTGTTTAGATTACGATACGCTTTTATGCTACCTTTGTGTTTTTTACCCCCAGATAGGGACCCGACTTGTGTGGGGGGTTCTCTTCCTTTTACATGTTCAGTCCTTTGAGACCGCATTTACAGTCTGTTTCTGTCCCCTGCGTGGGTAATTTCATTGCCTGTTTGTTTATATTGAAAACTTAATAAACTTACGGTTTACAAAAAGCTGGGTGTTATGTGCAGAGAGCAGCTGTAGAAAAATCTTACCATGCAGCACACGTCTTGTTTTCTTTAAGAAAAAAATAAAAAATATACAAGACATTTTCTGAATGGAGAATAGTGAAGAGGGGCGGTTAATGCACCGAAGCACTGTACACCATCTTGGGTCGCATCTCTCCCTCTCTTCAGTGCCTGGTAGCTGGGCGTCGTGTGCAGGAGTTTGCGTGCTCCAAGGTCAGATTTTTAACCACTTGTCTTACCCTCTGCATATATCACCCAGCTTTTTAACCACTTGAAGACCAGGTATTTACATCCCCTTCCTGTCCAGGCCATTTTTCAGTATTTAGTGCTGTGGACATTTATTCTGTCATGCAATGCTGTACTGAAATTAATTTTATACCATTTTTGGGATCAGATAGAGCTCTCTTTAGGTGGTATTTAATCACCACTGGGGTTTTTTTTATTTTTTACTATATAATGAAAAAAGAACCAAAAGTTTTCCCTACGTTATGTTAAAAAAACATTGATTCTTACCCATATTTTTGGTCAAATAAAAAAAAGACGGGGTGACATCGGGTAAAAAGACAAACATGTCAAACTTTAAAATTGCGTGCACCCGCAAAATTGCAAAAAAAAAATACCATACCTACTCAATATTAGCTGGGTGCTCATAATGTTATGGCTGATTGGTGGACATAAGGTGTCCTCACACTAAACACCTCTATAGGGTCACCATCTGCCTCTGTAGAGTAACTCAAGGACACCTGCGTATATGGATGCATCCTTAATGCGCTACTGTTTGGAGCTAATTCTCACTAATATATATATATATATATATACACACACACACACACACATATACATACACACACTAGTTGGGTCATCAAAATTCATTGGCTGACAAGGCATAAGGAGTACCTGTTATTGATAGACACTGAGATTGCTCAGAGTTCATTTTTGAAGGAGCTCCATCTTTTCATAAAATGATCTGTGTAACTTCCCAGCACCCTCCTTCCCTTTTATTGTCAATCTAGAACTAGAACATTTCCATTTGGAATCTGATTGGTTGGACGTGAACATTGACAGTCCTCTCTGTCACTATGGTAAATGTCTTTTATACGTCAGACAGGGACTCACGTGCATCATCTTCATGGCCACCAGCTTGAAGCCCTTCCTCTCGAATCGCCTGATGATCTCTCCGACAAGGCGCCGCTGACACCCATCCGGCTTTATGGCCAAAAATGTACGCTCATTAATCCCCGTCCATGCTGTAAATAGAACAGATGAGTTATTTGTATCTGGTCCTAGTTGACGTACACATATTATTGTACAATATTTTAAAAAAAAAATATCAATTTAAAAAAGGTGAATAATTAATAATGTAATTTCATGCAAATCAGTCCCTGTGTGTTGTAAAGTAGCCACCGCTCCGAGCTCACTCCCACGATGGACTACAATCTCATGTTTAGTTTACTTATTTGCATGGAGATTGTAGTCCATCCTGGGAGCGAGCTTAGAGCGGTGACTACTTTACAACACACAGGGACCACGGGGAACAAAAGTAGCCACCCTCCAGAAGGAAGGACAGTGTCGGCACCAATTCGGATAAGGTTTGAGGATCTACAGCCGAGTGATACACAAATAAGATACATTTTTGTTAATAGTTAAGGTACTTGAATGTTTTTTTAAGATTTAACTCCGGAGTCTAGTGTCACTTTAATTATTCCTGTACATTTGTCCCTTCTTTTACAGGACACACTACTGTCACTAATGGTCACATTTCCTTTTAACACAATTTTTCAGCTACACTATTGTACTACCATAAACCATATTTTCAACTCCCATCTCTAATCCTATTTCTGTGGCAGGGTTATAGCTCTCATGACCACGAATGCTTGGGTCCCTGAATGCCATTCCTCGTGCTTTGGCACATATGCTTTTGTACCTTTGCCATGGTTATTGTACACATATAACCAGGGCTTGAAAAATTTGGCGGTGTCTCACCAGTCAGTCAAAAATTTCACCAGTCAGCATGACCGGACTATAGCCTTGCAATATATGTTAAAAAATTTTGGGGACAGATACATAAATGTAAAAAAAAAAAAAAGTTTCCCTATGTTATAAAATATTTATTCTTACCCATATTTTTAGTACAACATAAAAGTCGGGGTCACGTCATGTAAATAGACACCAAACATGTTACGCCTTAAAATTGCGTGAGCCCGCAAAATCGCAAAAAACGCCCATACGCGACGATTAAAATGCTTTTACTGCTCATCAGTTTAGTGTTATCAGTGATTGATGGCTCTAGAATTATTGCTCTCACTCCGACATTTGCTGTGCAGCACAATAGGCGCAATCGTCGTTTTCACACGTAGGCGCACCCGACGCATATCTACGTGTGTATGTGGGGGGCGGGGGACTTAAAAAAATGTTTTCTTTTTTAATTTTTTTTTATGCTTCTTTATTTATTTTTTTATGATTCTTTAATTTTTATATTACTTTTTTTTTAACACAACTTTATTGCTATTACATGGGGGGCTAAGAAGCCCCCTATGGGATAGCTAATTTACATGACAGGTCCTCTTAATGGAGACATCAGGGGTCTCCAAGACCCCTAATGTCACCTAGGGACCCCCAGAGAAGCTGATGAGGCAGAGATCGGCTTCATCAGCTTCTCTAGCTGGAGAGTGACACTGAATGCAGGAAGTGATGTAATATACATCACTTCCTGCATTCGGGGACTGAGAGGAGATCAAAGGGAGTTCGTGTACTGAACTCCCTTTGATCTCCTGTCACAGAGCCGTGCCGGTCCCGGCCGCATCGGGCACAGCGGATCTCGGGACCGGCAACGGCAGTGACAGCTTCTGACACAAGCGATCGAGCGTCTCTATAGACGCTCGATCGCTTGACTGTAAAGCTCCCGGCCGGCCGTGTAATTACAGCGGCCGGCCTGGAAGCTGCTCGTCGGGCTCCACTGTCTGCTCGTCACAGACGAGCAGACGAGTGGATTTTCGAGCCCTGCATATAACCAATCAAATTTGCTGTATGTCTGCCTCTATTACCACCGCACTTGATATGTTAAAGTGATATTAAAGTCAAAAGAGTTTTCAGCTATTTCAAATGCTGATGAAATCACTTACAATGGATGATGCTTCTTGATGTTTATAAGTTTGTTTCCTGCAGAATCAGATGGTCACCTGAGCACTGGTCCTGATATCTGGTTTTGGGGTGGCTCCTTTTCCTTGCAAGTTCCTTGGAGCCACCCTTGTGTGTGCTAGTCACTCCCCTAGCTCTCTTCTCCAAGCTAGATGAACATCTGCTGGAGACCGCTCGGCCCCTTCTGATCTTGTACTTGACAGGAAATTCAGGGAAGCTGAGTGAGTTGGAGCTGTTCAGAAACAGGATGACTGTGCTTGGGTAACAATGTATAGAAATACTTTGCTGGGCGATGTAGATTTGTTTGCTCTGGATTCTTTATTGCAAAAAAAGTTTGAGCGTTAGTATTGCTTTAAAGAGCTCCAGCATTTTTATCCGTTGCTCCAAGCCGGCTTCTTCTTAGGCTGGTCCCTATAGCCTCTCTCCCCCTCCTCTGCAGCGGTGTAAGGTCCCGTAATACAAATCTATAGAGTGTAAAGACGTGAGGAACATTCTAATGCTGCAGGGAAGAAGACACAGGCTGGAGGGAGCACTGTGACAGCTGGCCGACTCTGAGGTTCGGGTAGCCCCACTACAAGGGTTAAGAAAAAGCTTTTTTTCTGCCCGTGCGTGCCCGCTAGGGGGCGCGCGCGAGCAGAAAAAAATTGCCGTCTGGAGACGGCAACCCGCAGATGCTGCAGTGCCGTCCGTCCGTTTTTTTACTACGGGCGGACGGCAAGAGGTTAAGCAATCTTCTTTTTGTATCACTACTAACTTGCATTAAAAAAATTGTGTGAAAGAGAAACAGAACAGGAAGTGAGAGAAAATCTCTCCAAAAGTGAGGGAAATCCCCACTTGGTGATCACCAGAACAGGGGGGGGATGGAACGATCTGTTAGATTTTTATCCTGCAGTCTACATGCCGAATGACAAAAACCTAACAGTGTACGGCCACCGCAAGGTTAAACTATATTAGCTCCAAGACCACCTACCAACGATGAGCAGTAATTGTTAAGGGCTTGCTCACACCAATTGCAGTGCGTTCCAGAGCGGCAGCTGCTGGAACGCACTGCAATTGCTCACAAAACTTCCCCCTGCATTCTGGGGCGTGGCAATGCATTGAAATTTATCAAAACTGGATTGCCCAGGGCAACCAATCAGAATCTCTCTTAGGTTTGCTCAGGTAAGATTTGAAAATGAGACAGAGAAGCTGATTGGTTGCAGTGCAAATCTGCTCCAGATTTTGATAAATTCCCCCCATTTGTGTTATGTGATAGCGCAAGCCAAACACAGCTACCATGCTTTTAGCACAGCGCTATGGTGTGGTGTGGACAGGTCCTAAATGTCTTTATTTCGTATGGCCTGTCCTCCATTCCCCATCAATGCCAGAACAGAAGAGCTCCAAGTTCTCAATACAAGGTGTGCCACAAAAAACATCACCGCCGAGGGTCACGTGGAGTTGAGCAGCCAATGGCTGTCTCAGAAATACCTCCAGATACTCTGGTCAAAGGAGCAAGTGGATACAATGTAGCTTCTTCTCTTCCTGAGGCTATACATCCTCCCTCCTTCTCTACCTTCCGCCCGCGATACCCTGCCAGACACCTCCCGGGGAATCCCCTCACCAACTACTCACCTGTGGGGAAAATGTGCGCGAAAATCGTCAGCATCAAGCAAATCATGGCTGGAAGAAAAAGGAGGAGCCGAGGCCGCGCACGTCAACAAAGCCGGCGGCACACGCGAGAGTGCGCACGCCACCACCTCTCCGGGGTCATAGAAAGAAAAAAAAAAGCCGATACACTGTTTCTATATATACACTGCACGAAGCCACAATATATTTAGAAGCCACAAGATATATATAAAAAAAAAATCGTCACAGGGACAAACCCCTAAACGTATGTAGGAGTAAATAGAATTATTCCTCACTGGAAATTAACTAGATTAGGGTGGGTGGTTTTAATTCACTGCGCCATCTTGTGTCCAAAAAGCAAACTGCAGGCGGCAATGCCTGAATCCATCCTGAGTGATATGGACAGCAGGGCCTTCCCTTTCATGAGGTTAAAAAAGGTTTTTGTATCCGGCGGCATCTCTTTGGGTCATTTGGAGGGCAGCAGGCAGAGCAGCATGGCTGCCTGCTGCTCAAAGTTTGCAGTGTGAATGCCACCCTTTTACCGCCCAGAGCGTTCCAGGTTGCCAAGAGCCAGGCAGAGAGATGTGTATGCATATCTCCCCACCCAGCTCTTAGCAACCTGGGATACTCTGGACGGCTTCCTGCCCAGCTCCTGGTAACCACAACGTCACTGGTTGCCAGGAGCTGGGCGAGATGCCGGCCAGAGTGTCCCAGGTTGCCAAGAGCCGGGCAGGGAGATGCAGAGCCTCCAGAGGCTGGCCTCATTTTCATGTCTTGGCACTGTTTCCTCTATTCACCTCCCTATGCGCTGATTGCATGCACCACACCAGGTGGCAAAAAGACTAGTGACACCACTGATGGGCACAACTGGTCCTCAGTACCAGGTACCTGCCTTTCATGTGAAAGGGTAAGACACTGACCCTCAATATGCAAAGAGATCAGAAGCTCTGACTTTACTTGCAGCATGTTAGTTCTGAGTAAAACAGAAAATATTTAAGGTGGATATTTAAAACTGGAGCAGCTGTGCATGACAACCAATCAGCTTCTCCATTTCATTTTCAAATCTTAACTGAACAAGATGAAGAGAGAAGCCGATTGGTTACCATGCACAGCTGCTCCAGATTTTGTCTACACCAGTTTTGATAAATTCCCCCCACTACGTCCACAAGTTATGAATGAACAGGAACACTCAGTATAGAGGATTCATGTTCATTTATAACTGGGGCTGCAGAAAATGTTTCCTTTTGGTGCACCTCTAGTTTATACTATAAAACAGTAATAAATAACTCACCATTTTTTTTCAGGAATATACCAATTCTTCAAAACTTGAATCACTGACCCAAACAAAGAATTCAGTTATGTATTTCTAAGTATAGACACCTGGATATACAGTATCTTGAAAGCCAGTGTTTCAGGAAATGCTGACACCAGTGGTTCAGCATGACAGCCAGGCAACTCTCATGTTCAATAGGAGGTCAGAATTGTTAGCCCTCATATTGCTCTTATGACTGGCAGGGCAGTACACATATTGTAATAACTGTGCACAACTACCAGCAGGAAGCACAGCAAGCATAAGTTAGCAGCAAATATGGATCCCCCATGTACATGCACATTCACCAACTATACACAAAAACAAGTTGTACATAACATTTGTACAGATTATTTATATTAAATGAAAGCTGCAAGCAAAGTAATACTGAAGCTGGACAGCATGTACCTTATGGTAATACATTCTACCTTTTTATTGTTACCCCCTTCCCAATATGGCACTGGTGATCATGAAGATTCAATACATTTGCAGACTTTTAGAATGTATTTGTATAAGTTTAGGCCAGGAGTAAGCAACCTCGGCACTCCAGCTTTTGTGGAACTACAGGTCCCAAAAGGTATTGCAAGACTGCGACAGCCTCAGGAATGATAAGATTTGTAGCTGCACCACAGCTGGAGTGCGGAGGTTGCCTTCCAATGGTCTAGGCACACACTTGCATCATACACCCCCCATGTGACAGTGTCTGGTCCCTTAGGCACTGAGCATTCAACCTGTGGGAGACAGGGAGGGGGTGGGAATGTTTTAGTTTTCCTGATACTTGGAAGTCTATGTTTTTAAGGGGGCTCCAACTTTGCACTGGGGAGACAAGTGGAGCTGTAATTCAGGGATATATCTTAGGATGCCCACTGTGCAGTTTGAGCACCACTATGCGCTCTCTCTATATATCTATCTATACAAATGTATACAGTACATACACATGATATAATATGATCTGCCTTTAAATTATCTGTAGCACGTAGATGATATAGTTTTATATAAAGTTTTATTACAGCTCAGTAAATATCAAATGACAGGAAGAACTAACACAGGTATCATTAAGTAAAAATGATCATTTTTATCTATGGATGGGGTTGTACAGTCTTTTCTCAGTAGATCTGTTAACTGAAAGCAACCCTTAAAGAGCAAAGCCCATAACTCTATTCGCCATGGGACGACATTGCCACTCTGACTTGTAGCTCATTCTGGCAACCAACTCTGCATGAATCCGTGTTTCTAGGCAGTAGTGGAGGACTGGGCCCTCATCACACAGGTGTCCCCAGTTTGGCTCTTCTTACTTTTAGCTCATTTTCGAGCTCACGCTCATTTGTAAGGAACCTCCCAATGTCCAGCATGGGCTCTATTAAAGGCTTTCCTTCTTTCTGCATCTGAGCCAGAATAATAGCCCTTAGAAGGGGTGGGTATGGCACATAGCGAATGGGTTCTGGTTCCGGCAGAGGGATAAAATCCTTGAAGGTCTCTTCTTCATGCCGTGGTATAAGACGCCAGTCATGGTACATGACTTTGCTGATCTCATGCTCTTCAGGTTCTGTTTTACCTGAGTGAATCAACAAGAGGAGAAACAATATCAAATCACCAAGTCACTTTACCTGAAACAGTCTCTGCTTATGACATGAATGAGAAATATACTATATGGCCAAAGCTATATAGACACCCCCAAATAATTGAGTTCGGGTGGTTTTAGAACAGGGTATTGTTAATTCTACAGCTTATCATTCCATTTAGGCCTGGTTCACACCTGAACGTTTTGTAGCGCGTTCAACGCTCGACGAACGCTCTACAAAACGCTCAAACATATAAATCCCATTGTATTCAATGGGTCTGGTTCACACCTTGCGTATTTCCGCCCGTCCGAACGCGATACAAAACGGCCTACGCCCAAAGAAGTACATGTACTTCTTTGGGGCGTTTTGGTCTCGCGTTTCCATTGGGATACAGCCAAGTAGCCCACGGAAATGCGCGTTTGTCGCACGTTTTTTTACCGCGAATCCGCGTTCCGCGAACCGCGCGACATACGCGCATATTCAATACGCCTAGGTGTGAACCCAGCCTTACTGGGTGAGGGGGAAACTCCATATTAATGCCCATTAATTGTCAAACAAGCGGATCTAAGTGATGGTCAATTGTCTTCATTGGGCTTGGCTTATCTTTTGGGTTGCTTTTAGAGGAGAAGGTAATTGCAATACATTTTGTAAAATCTTTCCAAATACAATAAATGTTTTCTTCTAGTTGCTGTTGTTTGAAAGCTGCACTGGGTTCCTAAAGAGTCCTACCAGCAAAACCTCCCTTTTCTTGAAAGATAGTTATCTGAAGACACCAGGTTCTTTGGAAACAGCATCATATAACAAATGGCCTCCCCAAGATTTTTCTTCATGTACATGCTCCCTGGGTTAGATCAAGACTAGCTGGAAGGGATAATCACAAAGCATGTATAAGAACACTTCCTTTTAAGAAAACTTCCACATATTTCTCTAGGGAGAAGACATTATTTTAGGGCTGCTGGCAAAGAATCATTCAGGCATAAGAATTAATTTTTGTCAAACTTTACCAGTTTCCTTGTACCTTAAAAAGGCCTGTCCCCTTTTTTTATAATTATGTTTTGATTACTAGGACCTACCTCTATATGTTAAGTGACCCCAAGCTTGCCCATGGTCCATGTTCTGTAAGACACAAACACAAGGTAAATATAATGTCTTGAAACACTAGAGAATATCAAAGAATGCAATCTATCAATCGTGTCTTTGAAGGTTCTCCTTCATCCAGGTAATGGTATAGTTAGTAGTAGTTAGTCTCATTAATCAAGGTCATGGCATAGCTAGTAGAAGTTAGTCACATTCAGTTGGACTTGTTCTTTAATGTTGAAGACAGCTCACACCTTATCCAAGTCTCTTTTTCCATTTTTAAACATAGAACTGAAGTGGTTTGAACAAGCTGTGTACTGTCTTCAATGTTACCGAACATGTCCAGTTGAATGTGGCTGACTACTACTAACTATTTTACTACTTGAATCTGAAGCGGCGCCATCCGCAGTCACTACAGCACCCACCGCAAGGGACATACCAGTAAGGAGTGCGGTAGGATTCTCCTGTGATTACTACTAATAACCCCTTAAACCTCATTTAATGTGCATGCGCTGAGCTAGTAATCTTTCAATAATACACTAAATTATAATCTGTCCCTTTCATAATATATTTAAATATTTTACTGCTTTTAAACCTACATCTCTGAAACAACATTACTTATAAAAGGTGGATAACATTGTATAATGTTCTAGGTACAGACAGTGGGTTTAACTAAGTTTTGCTGAATGTATCTGGTACATCCATCATGAAATCAATAGCCCTCAGTTCACGAAATCTATTGATTTTCATCCCTTATATACTACGCTGAATCATTTGTTATAGCTGAACCTGTGTCAGCATACTTTATAAAAATGTTATTTCCTGTAAAAATAGTGACGTGTTGAACTATATGGAAGATGATGGTGAAAGAGCTAGGAATGTTGTATTTGTTATTTAAAGGAGAACTATGAGGTGAGTGCTTTTCACTCAACTCATAGTTCTAGCCGACCTGTGACAATGAGACTGTCACAGGTCGGCTCAGTAGATCGGGAAGTGAGCGAACACACACCGGCGTTCGCTCACCTCTCGATCCTGTCACGGCTCTCTGCCGTGACAGGGGAGGGGTTGTTTTCCCCCCTCCCCGCTCCGATCCACCAGCGCTGACTGGCGGAACGGACGGGGGAGGGTACAGCTGGCTCTGCCTCTAGATAGGCAGAGCCAGCTGTCACTCACGCAGCTTGGCGGATCTCGACATCGATGTCGGGATCCGCTCCGGCTGCAGCGTCTCATTATACTGCGAGCTGTAGCTCGCGGTATACTGAGCTTAGGGTGACAGGAGGACGCTAGTTTGTGTCCTCCCGTTACCCTAAGGAGAACTATGGGGAAAAGCCCTGACCCCATAGTTCTCCTTTAATTTAGACTACTTTAAATAAAAAACTCTGCACAATTAAATTACAGTGCTCCTGCAGGTCCCCATATTATTCCCACATCACCATATTACTCAGGATGCCACCTCAGCTTCTAACCTGTAAGAATGGCCACAACATACAGGCTGTCCAGACTGTCTGTATGTGAAGTGTCCTTTAGAGTCTGATGATTCTAATACACTATGCATGTGGTGGCTAGCCATACAGGGCGGTCAGTGCTACACGCTAACCTGTCCTATCATGACCTTCTTGACCCCCCTCACCTCAGCTGTGTAATCCACTTTGACTTTAGTAATAGTCCAGTAGCAAGGTTCATCGTACTTCTCCAGCCAAGACTTCTTGGTCACCATCCTTCCAATTCCAAATGATCTCAGGCCAGCAAGCAGAGTGAAGAGCCGCTTCTCATGCTTTATATCCTCCCAAGCTAGGACGGGCATTCGTTTACCAGTAAAAGGCCGGGTCAAGGTCTACAGAAAAAGAGACAACAGTGCGATATATATTTGTAACACAGTCATGGTGCCGCCTTCTTTATATAGAGATTTAGTACAATGCCAAAAGATATCTGAAAGCATCAGAAAGAAAAGCTCTTTCATACATTAATGAAATCCTCTATTTAATTTTTGACCAGCACTAGAAACATCAACAGAAGAATTTGAAACGTGGGGAAATAAAGGCCAGCTAGCAGGATTGAAGGGCATCTCTCTGGCCACTGATAGGCCTATAGCACACCAGTGATAAATGTATTAGGGTTCCAGGCATTAGGATGCAAGGCATGTATAACTCTGTTTGCAGTACTGCTCTCAATAAGGACTATGTAGCACTAGCGATCCGGTCGTTGGCCACAATTCACCAGCAATAGGAATGCTAGAGAGGTAAACAAAAATGCTCATCTGTTGCTATAGTGTCATTTCCTTGCTGGATAAAACACTGCAAATTTTCTAGCCCCAGAGAGAGTAACATCGCACTGTTCTGCCCTGAGAAGAAGAATGTAGGAAAAGGTGAGTGTTTTTTTGTAGGCAGGTTGTCACCAGTGACAGTAAACTCATAATAGGACATAGGCAATAAAAACAGGCACCACTCCCAATGGGGTGCAAGGCCACTCTCCGTCACAAAGGTATATTTGTTATACCATAATTAAAGTAGAATTGAAGCTTTTTTTAAATTTTAGTTTTGGATAGATTAAGGGAGGGTTATATCCCTTGTCAGCTTTTTTTTTTTTTTTGCCATCTGTGTTCCATTGGGGAAATTTCCCTTCACTTCCTGTCCGATAGCCACAACAGGAACTGAGAGGAAATCCCTGCTGGTCAGCAGGTTCACCAGAACTAGTGTCCCCATTGGAAGATTTCCCATCCTGTTTTGGTGGCAACCTAAAATTTGGGATTTTCTTTCACTTTCAGTGATAATGGTCACCAGGAAATATTGAGAGGGTGAATCTCTCCAACGGGGACACAGACAGCAATAAAAACTGACAGCTGTTCAAATCCCTCCCCACTCTAGTTTCAAAGTGTTGGTCTCAGTCACACTTTAAGGGCCTGCATGGTCATTATACATAAGCATTTTCTTAGCTGTTTTGTCAGATGATTTAAAATGAATGCTCAATATTTGCTTACAGAAGAGGTCATTCAACTTCTTCCTCTTCTTTTAGATGGTTATACGTGTTCCAGCGGGCTAGTACCCTAGTCAGTTCTAAAAGCCCTGCGATACATCTGTGATATGTTTTTATGTTGGGTGCATACAAGTGATGTTTGTACAGTGCAGCATTCTGTAAATGATATAAAGGGTGGATGTGACATTAACAGAGGGGGTGACAGTACCCTCATACAGCCCTGTACAGAAAAGGACAGAGGAGGTGACACTACCCTCATACAGCCCTGTACAGAAAAGGACAGAGGAGGTGACACTACCCTCATACAGCCCTGCACAGGAAAGGATAGAGGAGGAGTGAGAGCACCCTCATACAGCCCTATACAGGAGAGGACAGAGGAGTGGCAGTGCCCTCATACAGCCCTATACAGGAGAGGACAGAAAGGGTGACAGTACCCTCATACAGCCCTATACAGGAGAGGACAGAGGAGGGGACACTGCCCTCATACAGCCCTATACAGGAGAGGGCAGAGAACTGACAGTGCCCTCATACAGCCCTGTACAGGAGAGGAGTGACAGTGCCCTCATACAGCCCTATACAGGAGAAGGCAGAGAAGTGACAGTGCCCTCATACAGCCCTGTACAGGAGTGACAGTGCCCTCATACAGCCCTATACAGGAGAAGGCAGAGAAGTGACACTGCCCTCATACAGCCCTGTAAAGGAGAGGACAGAGGAGGGGACACTGCCCTCATACAGCCCTATACAGGAGAGGGGAGATAAGTGACAGTGCCCTCATACAGCTCTGTACAGGAGGACAGAGGAGGGGACACTGCCCTCATACATCCTGGTACAGGTGAGGACAGAGGAGGGGACACTACCCTCATACAGCCCTGTACAGGAGAGGACAGAGGAGGGGACATTACCCTCATACAGCCCTGTACAGGAGAGGACAGAGGGGGTGACAGTAACCTCATAGTCCAAAGCATAACGCTGGGACTCCCGCGGTCGGTTCTTCAGCTCCCGGTAGGCTCGGATTTTTCGGGCCATCTCGGCAATGTTTCTAAACCTCTTCTTTTGCCCCATGATTACGAGCGATGCCCCTCACACCGAAAAGCTACACACGTGAGGGTGACCCCCTAAGTCCAGGAATGTCGCGCTTTCTTGACGTCTCCGAGCTGTCAGCCGTCTCACGTGATCATATTTCCAAGCAACAGCGGCGCGTCCAGATCGTTTATCAGGATAATAAAACCAAATCAGGACTTTTTGCTAACTGCTGTGTTTAGACGTAAATGTTTTACAAATATCACATGAAAATGTGAAAAATGCACTTTTTTTAAAGCAAATATGCCCAGAACAAATATGGCCGCTCCCGTCTACGTGATGCAATCGAAGATCGACACGTTTCCTTATCGGTCAGTCGCGCTGGAGCCATTTTGTTGAAGCCCTGAGGGTCCAGCTGGTGGTGTCCAGGATTTGGGTGTACTGCTGGTATCATGAGGTGTTGGTGCAGGGAACGAGATAATGATAGCACTGGCTTTGTCTTGTATGAGGTGTCTAGTGTGGTAGTTTAGTTTGCTGCTTTGTCTTATTTTTATGACAGTCCTGTAAGGAAGGTTGTTAGCCACCATGGACTGCTGCTGAGCTAATGTCAGAGCACACCTATGCAAAGACTAAATACAAATCACACATATAAATAAAGATAAAGTATGGCTTAGTTCAGCAAATGTACCAAAGCTAATATCATTTTCTTATGCACAGTATCTACTGTACAATGAAAATTAAAAATAAGGTTACTGATGATCCAAGTATATAATGTGGGCAACATGGCATTATTCACTACTGATTAGATCTGTAAGAATAGATCTTATGTCATTGTGGTATATTTAGGGGCTTCATGGGTGTATATAGAAAGGATTTAATCACCACTCCCTGCAGATTTTTTACATTCCTAATTTTTTAATGATTGGATGGTCAGCCTTGCCCATCCTTCGGTGTTGGCCAGTGTTTCCAGAAAGTGGCACATGGATTATTTCTGTTGACTTAAACATGGAGCGGGTGCCGGTGAAAGTCACGGTCACCAGTTCCCCTAGGAAAAGGGCCAAGACGTGGGAGATATCCGATTCAGAAGACGAAGAGCCAGATTGTACTCTTAAAGGCGGGATCAAGGGAGCCGAAGCAGAAATAAAATGTAAGCAAGTATTAGATGATGCAGATGGCGGTGCGTTTATACAGGCAGGACCTGAGGAGCTTTTGAGAGATCAACATGGAGGGCTTGATGTAGATTCTAGAGAACATGGCTGGACTGGTCCTGGTGTAAAAGCTGGATCTGTAGAACCTTCTGGGCTTCAGAAGGAGCAGGGGGATGTTCATCATCCTCCAACTTCATCAAGTTTAGTACTGTCTCTACCTAAATCCACCACCCCTAGCCCAGTGAAGAGGTCAAGGAAGAAGAAGAGTCCCGAGGAGCTAGAAGCTGACAGAGCACAGGCTGAGGAGAAGAAAAGGGAGAAAGAACTAATGCGTCAGGAGAAAGAGAAGATCAAGGATCTGGAAAAGGAGGAACGGGAGAAGAGGAAAGAATCTGCACAGGCCCTGAAGCTCCTGAGACCAGATCAGTGTGGAAAATATATGGTTGTCCAGGTGGATGCAGGTAGGAAAATGTCTTAAGCTGGTCATACACCTATAGATTATCTGCAGATTCTCTATGGTGAGATGGAAAACGTGCAACTGTGTGGGTGGAGGAATCTCCCACTGGGCCAAGCTTCAGTATCAGATTGTTCAGGTGTTTTGACAGCCAGCAGGGCCAACTTTGTCAGATACTGAAGCTTGGCACAGTGGGAGATTCCTCCATCCACACAGTTTAGTGTAGATGGAGGAATCTGATGCACGTTTTCCATCTGACCATAGAAAATCTGCAGATCATCTATAGGTGTATGGCCAGCTTTACACTTATTTCTCTCAATTTCTAAAAGGAGTTATTGGTCAACTGCAGCTCTTCGAAAGAGCCACAATCAGTTGCCTGGTGTGGTGGGAGACTGAGAAATGGCACTGTATACATTGTTATTTGATGCATGCTTCACATCAGCTTTAAGCATCATTGCAAATTACATGATCTACTGTAAGTCACTTTGTTAATTGTTCCCTTATTTCACAGGTCTTCTCCAAGATGCAGGGTCAGAAGATGTGCTGGAAGCCTTGAGATCAGCTGGGTATAATTACTCTATAGAGCCGCACTCTATACCGTGCAGTATTACCTGGAAAAGGGAGATGCCCGCTGACTGGACGTGTGTGGTAAGTTGTGCTTAGAACAGACAGAATTCACAGTTGGACTTACCGGTAATGGTATTTCTGGGAATCTTCCAGGACCATAAGCATACTTAGGTTGCTGTCCTGGAAGATGATCGCAGAAATGTGTTTTTCCTTTATTTGTATCAGTGGCACTTGAAATATAAAGTTAAAAGAGAACTATGGGGTAATTTTTTTATCCCATAGTTCATTTTAGGGTCACGTGAGGACATATACTAACCTCCTCCCGTGACCCAAAGCTCAGTATATAGCCTGCTATATACTAAGAGCACACAGCCGGGACGGATCCCGACAATACTGTCGAGGTCCACTCAGCTGGCTGATTGACAGCGGGCTCTGCCTATCTAGAGGCAGAGCCAGCTGTGCCCGCCCCTTCCCACCATTTGTTCCTGCAGTCAGTGCTGGAGGATCGGAGAAGGGAGGGGGGGAATCCCAGTGGGGAGCCGTGACTGACAATCGCCACTCTCTCCAGAGAGATGATCTGGAAGTGAGCGAGCTTCAGTATGTGTTCGTTCACTTCCTGATCTATAGAGCCGACCTGTGACCATTTCATTGTCACAGGTCGGCTCTAACTATCGGGATGAGTGGAAATCACTCACCTCATAGTTCTCCTTTTAAAGGGTCAGTCAACCTAAAAATAATATTTCAGTTCTTTGTAGTTGCTGGAGAGGTTAATCACCTGACAGTTCCTAATATATCTCAGACACTCTCTTGGTGAGCTTCTGGGTTTGCACACCTGATGTGGCTATTGTGAGGTTTTGTATGCACGCAAATTGGGTTTTCTTATTTTTTTTATAGCATAGAGAATGCAACAGGAGGAGCAGGGACCCACAAAGGAGGGAGTTCACAGAGTCAGAGATTATGGTGGGGAAATCTCATTGAGTACCCAAAACATAAAGGCAGCTGACAAAGAATATCACTTCTGAGAGTGCACTGGTCCTGTTAAAAGAAATCTGTATTAAGAAATGTATGGGGGCCGACATTGCTAAATTCTCCATTGGAAATGCCAGTTGGTTGACTTTTATGCTAACCCAAAAGATTCAATACTTTTATTTAATGACTCAAGCTGGCCATACATTGGTCTAATGTGTGTACTCATCAGGACCGCCAACCTTCCCCCGCCCAGCCTGAAAAATCTCTGCTGAGCAGTAACTGCAGCCAATTATCTGCTTTCTCCTGTTAGCATGGATGGGAGAATCAAGAGTATTTTCTCACTGCAAGGGTTAAGAACACTTTTGCCCAGAGTTTTGCTTTGCCTTAATAAAGATGAAAGCCTTAGGTCCCTTCTTCGGGCTTTATACCTGTTGCTGTATGTATAAAGCCTGAATAAGGGATCTAGGGCATCCTAAAAGCTTGCACCTTTAACAATTTAAATTGGCCAATAAAAAATATCTCTTAGGGTCTAATGTTTAAGCATTCTGCCCAGTGTATAGCCAGGTGAATGCTGTTCGCATGGCATTTCTGCTACTAGATGGAGCATAGGAATTTCAAATGCTTTTTTGCTCCATATAGTGGCAGGAATGCCGTTCGAACGGCATTCTCCCGGCTATACGCTGGGTAGAACTTTTATACATTAGTACCTTAAAGTTGAAACGTTCTGCATTGCTATGAAATAACTAATTGGGTTGATTTTATGTTGCGGGTATTTTGTTAAAACAATGCCTTTTCTGCTTGTAAAATGTAAGGCTTTCATTACTAAGAATTCCCTGTCCTAGCTCTCCATACATTTGTGCGCTGTCAATTATGATCATGTGCTCTCACTTGCTATTGATCTGCTATTTTTCAAACTTGGATACAAAGTCACGTGGTGACCCATCCCAAACACGTTTGGATCTATAGATTAAAAAACACGTACCTAAAGGTCTCTGTTTGTCTCTGGCACAGCTATCTTACCAATTATTCTCTTACTATTAGAGAATGCAACAGGATGAGCGGGGACAGTTCTGTAGTCACTGTAGGAGTGACACATCACTTTGAGATCAGAACGTGATATTATAGACGGGTAGAAGAATCCAGCGGATGAAACAGCTCCCCATCCAGAGCTGAAACGGCACTTTTGGGTTTTGACTGACTTTTTAATTGGGTAAAACCAGATATAAAATTTTTTACTAGTGACATGGTCAGTTTAAAATGTAGACCTCACAAAAGTAACTATTGATGTTTAGTCTCTGATCTTTTATATTCTAGGAAGGGCTGGAACTGTGTAAAGGGGAAGAAGAGGAAATGCTGATACTGGTGGAGCCCGGAGATTTCCTTAAAAGTGTTTCCTGTTACGTTCAGGTAAAATGTGAGAAGGTTAAGAACATTCAGGTTTGCGCACAAGGTTATAGTGGGCCTATGGGGCATATAGCTCAATTTACATGGGTTAAAACATTTGTGATCGCGGTTGCAATGCTCTGCAGGCTTCAATGCCAAAATGTATTAAAGCGGACCTTTACCCATATCAATAACAACAAATACACCTTTAGAAATGTTTAGTAATGACAATCTACAATTACATACTTCTAGATAATTGCCTGCTTTGTATTCTTTGCATTCCTTATTTCTCTTTTCTTCCCCAGTCTTCTGACAGTGGCCATGTTTACTAAGAGCAGATTACTATCTCATATTACTTCCTGGATTTCTGGCACATGCGGCTAGGACATGTGACCATGCACATCATCTCAGGGGAGGAAAATGCCTTTCCCTGAGATCTCCTGAGATTACAGATGAGATTTCCCAGCAATGCTCTTCTGTTGGCAGGGCAATCCCAGTGTGCATTGCTTTGGCAAACCGAAGTCATTTTGCCCTTTCAAAGCAGGAAGTGAATGCTCTGCAAGTGTAAGTATTTCAAAATCACAGCATTGTGCACCTGACATGTCTATGTTATTATTAATCATCATACATAGAGGCATGCATTGGTAGAATCGTATTTTTGAGTGTAAAGGTCCGCTTTAAATGCACATTTTATTTTTTGTGATAATTGGTGTATTTATAAAATATTTGCAAAAGTTGAAGTATGCCTTTTTAAGTATATTGCTTACTGATAACAGTCAGCAAAGACACAGAGTACAGGAATTTACCAGATTTCTGGAAATTGGTATTTTATGCATGTATAAAACAGACATAAGAAAACACTTTTAGGGCAGGTTCATACCATTTTCTGGACCAGATATGGTGTGAACCTGCCCGCAGTTCCAGTGCATTCCAGACCAGACAAAATGAGACCTGCAGTATTTTTCTGGTCTGGTCTGGAATGGACTGCGCTGGTGTGAACAGAGGCCAGAAATAGCATTGGGATACCTTAGAATGCATTTTGGGTCCGGAAACAATCTGGTCTGGTCTGGATGTGGTGTGAAGGGGCCCTCAAGGGTATATTTAACGGACCAAAAGGAGCAAATAAGAGAAGTTAAACATTGGGGTTTACAGTACATTCACCTCAATGAACATTCTGAAACAGGTCAGCGGTATCAGCTTCCTGGCAGTTATGTACAAGATATAAAGTAGCGGATCTCTGTCCTTTCAGGTTAGAGAAAACTCCAGGACTTGTGAGACTGCATCCTCTGTGTTTGGAATGGACAGAAAATGCCCTGGAAAGAAGATCACCTTGGCTGTTTTGGGGCTACATGATTATAGAAGGTAAATAGGAATACAGAATGCAGCATTCAATAAAGGGGAGCATTCCCTATTGAAATATCATCAGTTTGATTCAAGTTGTTTTTTTATTCCCTTTTTTGCTAAAAAAACAAAACCTTTCTATTCGGAGCTAGCAGTCAGCCTGACTTTGAGCCCCTGTTCACACCTCTGCAATGCAACCTTGCAGAGGTGCTGTAGGGTGCTGCTGTTGTAGGGCAGCCCATTTATTTTAATGTGCTGCCTACTGCAGCTAAAAATCACTTAAAGTGCCCGCACCTTTTGTTTAAATTGCATCGCACCACATCGCATGTTCATAGGTTACCATGCGATGTGGTGCAATACAAAAAATTCAAAAAAAGTCACAAGCACTCCAGCATGTAGAAACGTCAATGTTTATTGACTTCACAAGTGTCACATCATCAGAGCGACGTTTCGGAACAGCAAAGTCCCTTCCTCAGGCAAAACAGATATCTGTTATATCTTATCTGTTTTTCCTGAGGAAGGGACTTTGCTGTTCCAAAACGTCGCTCTGATGATGTGACATTTGTGAAGTCAATAAACATTGACTTTTCTACGTGCTGGAGTGCTTGTGACCTTTTTTGAACTTATTTTGCGGAGGCATTCACAGTCATTTCAGCACCCACCCTACAATTACGGTTTTCTATCCGGTCAGGAGTGCGATGGGTGTGTATGTTTTTTGTGGTGCAATACAACACACATGCAACGGCTAGGTGTGTTAAGGTGCCATTAATACATAATGATACCGCAGCACACCTAGCATTAAAATATGTGATGCAGGATGTGAGCGGAGCCTATGATGGAAGTCTGGCTTACTGGATAAGACTGAAGGCAGTAGCTTAGAGCAGAGGTAGCCAAACTTCAGCTCTACAGCTGTGGTGAGATTTAAAATTCCATCATGCATTTGCCTCCAGAAGGCATGCCCGTGGCTGTCAGAGTCTTGCAATGCCTCATGGGACTCGTGTTTTCTCCACAGCTGGAGGGCCAAAATTTTCCTACCTCAGTGTTAGGTGGTTAAATGTTTAGGGTGAGGTTAAGATTTAGGGTGATAGTTTAGGGGTTAAGCGTTTGGGGGAAAGATTAAGTGTGAGGGTGGATGCTTTAGTGCAAGGGTAGGTAAACTCCACCCCTTCAGCTGTGCTGAAACTACAAGTCCCATGAGGCATTGCAAGGCTCTGACAGCCAAGGTATGACCCCCAGAGACAGAGGCATGGGATTTGGATTTTGAAGGCCGTAGTTGGCTGACCCCTGCTTTATTGTTAAGAAAAAAAAATGTTTTGCTTATGAGCAGTAAGAAAACTTTTACTACCTTTTAAAATGGACCTAGCATCCAATATATTCTTCTTTCATGCTCTGTGCCTGGTTACCAAGTAATGTGTAGGTATGATCTGTACAGTTATTTGTTACCTGTCACAGAGATCACAATACTCCCCCCTAACAATAGCTTCATCTACTTTTAGCTCCAAAAGAGCGAGCCAACTTTGTTCAAGCATCATCCGGGCTCAGCATCTACTCCTTGGACTGAGTTGCTGGCTCAGAGATGACACAATCATGTAAATCCTCGTGCCTGTGCGGGTCTGGCTGTGTTCACAAATGTCTGACAAGTACCAGCCCCTGCTGCAGCATCTGATCTTGTAACTTGCTACAAAGTTACTATGTTGCAGTCTGCTCATTAGGGAGAGGAGACTGAGGAAATGCTTCCTGCTCCCTGCAGCAGACTGATTTCATAATTCCCGCCTAGGCAAAGCCACTTGACTGGAGGTCATGGACTGCTTTTTTTTTAGTGATAAAAGGAACAGCATTTTTGAAAATTCAAACTTGCTGTGTGTTGTTACAAATCAGGAATTTATTTAAAGTTACTGAAGGCTCCACATTAATTAGTTTTTTACTAATAAGGTTTTACAATGTCTTTTAACCACCAGATATCAAAGACTGTCACATAAGATGGAGAGACACTCACTGGAGCCGAGACATTACTATGATGAACAGCCAGAAAGTCATGTGACCAAGCACCATATAGACGAGGTTGGTGGATACTCTACATTTCAAATACCAGTCCCTGATAAAAGTCTTATTCCGCACATCTTCTTGTTTAGTATCATCTTCTAGGATCAGTTTTCATCTGGTGAGAAAACGGAAAATTACATTTGTTTACAATTATTTGTTTTAAGCAAGAACTCAAAATTACTTTTGCTTTACTAGAAAGTGCTTTACTTTGGTACATTGTGCCCTAAAGAGGGTCTTATTTGGCCTCGGGAGCCTATGCTTTATAAATATATTTTTCAAAATTACTTCCAATTGTGTGATTGTTGTAACCATGTTATACTTTTCAAATTACTTTAGGAGAAAGCATGTGTAATAGTTGCTGACATAACAAAGACTTTAGAAAATAGTATTGCAGGTTCTTACCTTTCTGTGTTCTTTAGGAACTTTTTTTTAGCACCTTCATGCAGCTGACTGCCAAGTGGTACAATCAGCCCTTGTTCTGACTGTATGTATGTGTGTATTGTGTATATATATTCCACGACCGAGTCTCCTATTGTACCAAAATATATATATATATATATATAACAATGTAACTTTACTGTTGGCAGCTTCGGGGAAATATTGGGGGTCTAAACAGACCCCTGATATTTCCCTTTTAAAATAGAAAAAGAGATTGAGAACACAGAGTCCTAAATCTCTTTTTCTGCAGCCCCTGTTATGAATGAACAGGAAACCTCCAAACTGTGGAGATAGTGTCAGTTATGTCCACAATCATGAATGAACAGGAAGTGATGTAGTGCACTTCCTGTTCATTCATAAATGGCGACCCAGTAAGCATACTATGTCCTCAGTTATATACACTGAACACTGAGTGATTAGTACTGATCGCTGAGTGCTTGTAACCCGCTCCCCATTCTGACTCCTATGCCTGTCACAGGAGGCCTTGCAGATGGTGCCGGAGGAGAGCTCGGCCTCTTGTGACAGCTGACAAGTCTCTCCTCCCCACATCGCTTTGCTTGGTATCCTGACAGCTTCTCTCCTCCCCGCTGGGCGCCAGTCTGTGTCCCCTTGGATTCCAGCTGACAAAGGCGGGGAGAGCAGCAGGGGTTGGAGGGGACACAGACCAGCGCCCAGCAGGGAGAAGAGAAGTTAGGGATGTAATGAATTTTAAGTAAGAATATACAATTAAAGAACGGGAAGCAGAATCCTGAATATTAGATAGCCAAGATAGTACATTCCTCAGTGTGATGTCCCTGCCTGTAATAATTATTGCTTATTTCTGGGGTGCTAGGCCCTCGTCTTTCTACAGCTGTACCATGAGACAGAAGTGTTATTCTGGGATACGTGGAGAGAACTGGGGCAATATGTATGTGCTGTGACCAAGAGTATAGCCCAGCGCCCGTTCCGGTGAGTTAATCAAACACTGACCACATAATATAAATTCATTGTGTGTGAAAGGTTATATGAGTGACCCGAGCAGCCTTCTAATAATTTCCCTGCTTCAAGAGGAATTTGGATTTCTGTTTTTCATCAAATGGTAAGATGTTAAAGAAAAATGATAAAGGAAAAACTATCTAAATCTAAAACATACTTTTGCCTATACTGAAACTGCTGAACACCAACTAAATTATTAACGTTTAGGTCCAATAGACAAATAACTGCACTGCAACATCCTAAACTAAAATACTCTCATTGCATTTCACAGCTTCCAAACTTTCACTTTTTCACAATGTTCTTTAACTCACAATGAGATGGTTTGGTTTTGCACATAACTGCTTGCAGTGTCTATACCAGTGGTGGCGAACCTTGGCACTCCAGCTGTGCCAAAACTACAAATCCCAAGATGCATCTGCCTCTGGGAGTTTTGTGTGTGGCTGTCAGAGCCTTGCAATGCCTCATGGGACTTGTAGTTCCAAAACAGCTGGAGTGCCAAGGTTCGCCATCACTGGTCTATACTATTTATATTTCATCTGCCATTTTTTTTCCGGCTGCAGTGACTGCTGACTTCTGCTCTGTTGCCATAGGCAGCACCAGTATTATTTCTTTGCTGCAGATCTTATTGCGATGACCTGAGAGTGATGGTGCAGCAAGGTGGATCATGCTAAACAACATGCTCTCCCTGTCCGCAGGTTGCACTGGGAGGCTCAAAGCTACTCATTCTGCACCTCAGCAGGCACCTGGCGAGGGTGGGGACCCAAAGGATCACTCGCAGGTTTACCATTGGCCTGGAAGAGACAAATTCAACAGCTCAACAGAGTCAGTCCAGCAATGGCTGCAGCTATAACAGAGGCCTACCCTTCCCCACAACTCCTCATGCAGGTCAGTGTCTTTTGTGCAATGTTGTTTTCTGCTAAGGATTCTTTTAAAGCCGATAAAGTGGACAAAATTCGCACAGTGGGTGCCGCTGTCGCCACCCTTCCGCCCGGAATCCCTCAATCAGATGATCAAAGGAGCCAGTTGGAAAATTCTCAGCCAGATGGCGCTAGCAGCCAATCAGCTGCTATTTCCGGTTGGGTTTTCTGACAGCGGCCAGTGGCAAATAGTCTGGCATTGGTCACATGACTGCCTGCTCGAGGTAACATGGAGTCACCCTTTCCATCCAAAATATAGAGTAAAGTGGCAGCCAGAGTGTACATTTCAGAATTTTCCAGAGAGCCCCTCCCGTTCCTCACTGATGAGTAAATTCAGTGGCCAATAGGGAGGTACAGGAGTCTTGAGGGGGCGGGCCAGCCCTCAGCTTCTTGCATATTAGTCATCCCCAAAATCGGGGGATCTTGGGTTAGGGTTATTCTGGATTATATTAAAAGGTGTGTGTGTGTCAAGTATTTTATGGACTTTTACCATACTGAGGAACACAATAATGGAGCTCTGTAATCATTAATACATCAATAAATGTTTTTTTTTGTTTTTTTATGCGCAAGTTTCCTAATTTGACTTAATATAAGCCTGTTGCAATCCCCTGTACAGCAGAGCTCAGAGGAGGAGGGAGAAGCAGCTCAAGTATTCAAACAGGTTTGCTGCAGTGCAATGGGCTAGCTGATCGGAGGAGAGGGCAGAGTGATGTAGAGATGCGCTCATAGGTGTGCTGCTGATTCTTTCATTGTCCAGTCACAGGGTGATGGTGGGAAGGAGACCTCTAGGTGAAAGTAAATCTGCAGCAGAGCTAGACCCTATCCCCTCCCCTGCTAGACAGGGATGCGCTGTGTGTCAGAGCTGTGTAAATTGTAGAACTAGATGGACAAAAAACTTTTTGGCCAGTAAAGATTTTTCCTTCCATGTAAAATCCTTAACTTGGAGTACAGGAACATGGGATGGTATTCAGGAACACAGGGTGATGTGGCCCCCCTTCTTTCCATGGTATGGCCTCCAAGGCTATGCCAAGAGACAGCCAATCCGGAAAGCTGCGAATGAGCCCCAAGGTCTCTACAGCAAATGAAGAAAAAAATGATATCTTGATATCTATCTCCTCTGGACACTAGCAGAAATCTGAGGCTTGCTGGAGTTGGAGGAGCGTTACAGGGCTGTCCTAACAGCTGTGCTTTTCCAGTGTCCAATCTCCTGAAGGGGGTAGCATAACCTTGCCTCTGAATTCCATCCTGTGTCCTGTAATGTACAATAAAGAAAACAGCTTTCATATACGTATTCGGTCTGTGCATTTAGCTGTATTTGTTCTAGTAGACTGCATATAAAGCCTATTTATTACAAAAAAATATTTACTCTTTATCTTTTCTCTTTCTCTCCAGGCATATGTAGCTTGTAATACTGATAAAGAGAGACTGTCTCTCCTTAGTAACCTGAGGATACCACGTGCTGCAGGTACCACAGACGATATGAATGACCCAGATGAGGATATCACACGGCCTGATGACCAAGACCAGGCAAGAGAGAGGCGCATCGGCCCTGATTTATCAAGACGCATCTGGCTGTTCATGACATCAGCCAATCCAGAGCTAGTGTTGGACTTGAACTCCTAGTAAATAATCACTGGTGAGGGTATGTTTAGTTTTTGTATTTTTTTTTTCTTCTCCAGCAAAATGTTACTTGGCAGTAAACTATTTATAATAAAAATGTTTCCAATCAGTGTAATAAAGAAAATTCACTTGTGTTTAGTTAATTGGGTGATTCGCAAAATGAGGGGTAGAAAACCCCAGAGATCCACCTATACATCATGGAAGAGGCCAAAGATCACCAGGGTGCAGCTTTTTAAAAGATATAACCAAGCAAGGGCGTATCAAAAATCTCTGTGCACGGTAGAGCTGAAAGTGCCATCATCACAGTGGCTGCCTACAGATGAATCTGCTCTCTTTGCATTGCTATATACGTCCCACAGTTGAGAAGCTCAGATTGTGTAAAACTCTGCACTCTACATTACTTAGTACTGACGTCTGCATTACTATTGCTCCTGAACTCTGCTCTACTTATTAATGGCCTCTGAATTACTACTGACTGCTGCACTCTGCATTACTTGCTACTGACACACAGCTGACCTCAGCACTCTGTTACTTACTAATGACCTCTGAGTTACATACTGCCGACCTCTGATCTCTGCTTTACTTACTACGGAACCCTGAACTCATAAAAGCTTCCTTTTTCATCTAGAGGGAAAACAGTCTAAAGCCGAAATGAAAAAGAGGTGCTAGGATCTTTTATTGCAGGTGTCCAACATTTTTAATAAATTTTTCTTTCATGGCGCTTAATCACTTGGGTGTGGCTGCTCGTCCACCAAATTACACCAGATTGAAGGATGTGATTAATAAAAAAAAAAAATCAACACTTTTGAGGGTTCACACAATCTCCTTTCACCAGGGCTAAAAATATACTGTAGATAAAACATAGGTAGAAATGTACATTTATGTTAATGTTTTAGCTATATTTCTACTTCTGGTTGCACCCTCATTTTTGCTTCAATTGAACAATCTAAAACCAGCAGAAAAAGACTGATCATCATTGGGGGTCAATTAACTACTCAGTTAACCCTTTACATATAGAAACCAGCTGCCAACGCATGTTTTAATGGAAACATGCACCCAGCAAATGCTGTGGCAATTCTGACCTTAAGGCCCCATTCACACTGAGCGATTTTATCGCAGCGATATCGCTCATATTTCCACGCGATATCGCTATATGTAGCTTCTCCAATCCATTTCAATGGAGCTGTTCACATCTCGCCGCTCAATATCTCTTGTAGCTCGTCGCTCCTACATGACCCTTTTTTCTGCGGATTTTTGAGCGATTTTGCTCCTGATTGCATATAGCACAATAGGAAAAAGTTGCGCAATATCGCACATATAAAATCGCGCAATTTTCATGTCGCTCAGTGTGAACGGGGCCTAAGGCTGGGTTCACACGTGGGCGTTTTTCAGCGCTGATCGAAGAGCGGAAAACCGCTCAAGCGGTGAAATCCTATTAACTCCTATGGGCATGGTTCCCACCTGGGCGTATTTCAGTGCGTTTTGACCCGCTGAAAAACGCCCTACGCCCGAAATAGTACAGGAGCTTCTTTGGGGCATATTTCAGCGCGTATCCATTGGTATTCCCGAGTGTGGCTTGGGGGTAACAAAGCGGTAACCCCGAGCCACATTTGGGAATACAACATAGGTCTTACCTTGTCCGCGATCCCCGCTGTGTCCTCCAGCCTTCTTCCGGGTTCCGTCCCTTGCGGAACTGGCGGGAAGTTGTTTTTTTTAAATACGAAAAAAAGATAGAGGAAAAAAAAAAAAATCATACCGCCAGGGAGGTTAAAAAACGAGCGTCAAACGCGCATTTCATTGAACAAAACAACGTGCCAAAAACGAGCATAAAACGTGCCTATTTGGAACACCCAGGTGTGAACCCAGCCTTAATCATACTTCTGATGCTCACTGTCCCTCCAGACTGGAATATACAAGGTTTTACAATATGGTAGCACTCTTCACAGAGACAAGGACTCCTTTAATTCTTATTTAGAACAAAGAGATAAAGGGTAATGATTTTAAAATATTGTTTATTAAAGCAAAAGATAACGGTGCATAAAAATATACAGAACAGAAATGACAGACAAGAGACAGAAAATAGATTACACTGTGATGAAAAGAATAACATAATGTGAAGTTGTGTTCAGTGATTGGCAGGCATGTGTATGTGAGTAGAAGAACATGGTATGTCCAGTGATTGGCTGTGTGTGTATGGGAACGTTGTCATATGTGCTGGAATTGAAGCAGTGAGAACCAGGATTAGATTCACAATGGAACCCAATCTGGAGATCTCTTTAAAGGTGCAATTCTGTAAAACATCATCTCTTCATTGCCAGACTATTTTTCAGTGCAATGATAGTCTGACTGATAAGTACTCAGTTATGCAACACTCTACCCATGGTAATTGTATATGATTTTTTTGAGACAAAGTGGTATTCAATAACCAATGTTTTTACATTTTTGACATATAAAAACGAAAAAGGGCCAGAAATTTGGGTTTTCTTACATTTACCTTTTGATTTCTTTACCTATAAAAAAAAAACAATCCCGCAATGATTGGTGGTCAGTGGCACTTTAAAGCCCCCCCCCCCCCATTCACAGCAAATTCCCCTATCATCAGTGTGAATGGGATGAATGTTTGTAAACACTACTAGTGCCTAAACTTGTGATGGCTGTGATTGGTTCACATCCATCACATGGTACAGGGCCACTCTGATTGGCTCTGTACATCGTGCGCTGCGTAATGACAGCTCAGATCACAGGCACACTGGTCCCCAGTTTGTTTTCTGCAGCGCCATTTATAAACAACACCCAGAAATATACGTCCACCACATCATTATTATTTTTTATAAACCCTTTATTTTCAGGGTTGATCATCCCTTTATTTTGCGGACAAGAGGTGAGGGAGAGGTGGGTTGACACCATTCCTGACATCACTGCACTTGTAGTCCATTGACACGTCCACATTAGTGAATGTCTTTTCCTTGGTATGGACATGGATGGGAGAAAGGATCTGCAGGAGCCAGAGCATTGCACACGGGATCCACGGGGGACCAGAGAAAGCAAAAATATCAGCTATTTAAACTTCAGCCTTAAACACAAGAAAAGAAACTTCGTTATTTGATGTTACATATTTTATTTATAAAAAAGGTATGTACAATATGGTCCAGTTATGTATCACTGAGCAGATATTTTTGTCATGTTAACAGATGGCTGTAGCTGTATTAGTGCAATTGTAGTAACACTGTGCTCTTCTTTGTTGTCTCCATATGAATTATATATATATATATATAAAAATACAGTAGATGTTTATTGGCACTTCAGATCCAGTCAGTCCACATATCTCGTCTTCAGCTAGACAGAGCATTGTGTATCCGTGCTATAGATTCCTGAGGACCCAAAGCCACCATCATCTCGGCCACACTGGGGCCAGCCTAGGGAAAGAGAACACAAACACTTCATAACTAGGAGACAACATTCCACATTCCATCTGTAAACTGACATTCCCCATTCTTATACCAGGCTAGACATCCACCCCAACCCAGAGGACTGGAAGATGCCGTTTTATAAACCTAACACCCACATTTGTGTTATTCACACTGTATACTCTCTATACTTTCATGACCTTCCTTTCCACCTAATCATGATAACTTTTCTGTGCTCATTTAGCCCCATTACATTTTTTTAAGATTGTTCTGGCACCATTTCCAAAAGAAATGAATATTGAGCCCAGAGCTAGGCGTTGGGGGAAGATGAAGTGGAAGGAATTACCTCCAAGCCACTCAGAATCCTGCGTAGAATTTTCATGGAAACACTGTACTTTGTAGCTTTCAGCTGCTGCAGATGGACCTTGAGATCTTTATTTAATGTTTCCACATTGGTGTCATTCTGGCTCTTCTGTAGAATCCTAGAAAGAAGACAAAGTTCATGAGGAGCTTTCCTTATTGTACTGCTATACATATGTACATGATCCTGCTCCATGTCGTCTGAGGACCCGGCATTGAAACCTGTACAGAGGCAAGGCATTACTTGCACCATTCATTATATTCTCAGATGTTTAACCCTTTCGCTGCCAATTCGGCTTGTGAGCCGCTGATGACAGCTATTAATTTAAAGGGGACAGTCTGCTGAACAGTTCTACTATAAGCTGATGGTCGCTAAAGCGACCATCAGCTTATAGTAGAACTGTAAATGCCAGGTCCGTACGACGTACTGAGCTGGCCAGCTGGAAGCACTTTTGTAGCTCCGTACGACGTACGTCCTTGGCAGCGAAAGGGTTAAAGTCTATCTACAGGTGAGACCTTTTTTTGTAGTTTTGGATAAGGTGGAAGTGTTAAAACCCTTGTCAGGTTTTTATTGCTGTCTGTGTCCACTCTGGGCAGATTCTGTCCTGGTGACCACTGTCACTCAGAAAGAGAGTGATGGGAAATCCAAAAGGTCATCCTAGCAAATCTTTCAAATGGGGACACCTGTTCTGATCACAACTGTCTAACACTGGATTTCCCCTCTCTTGGGAGAGATTTCTTCTCATTTTCTTTTGACTCCGAGACAGAAAATAAAGTCAAATCTCCCCAATGGGACAAAGAGAGCTAACAAAAATCCTCAACAAAAACAGGAGTTCTAACCACTTCACTCTATCCAAATCTACAGAAGTATTTAAAGACCCAGGTTGGCCATTAGGGGTACCGCATTCCCTCATCAAGGAAATTCGATTGAATCAACAACAAAACAGACTTTTAAAAAGGTACCCACCTGAATGCATCGTGGCCTAGTGGTTAGCACTCTTGCCTTGTAGGTTCCAATCTTTGTCTGGACACTATCTAGAAGGAGTTTGCATATTCTCTCTGTGCTTGTGTGGATAGGCTCCGGGTCCTCCGATTTCTTCCCATACGCCAAAGACATGCTGGTAGGTTTTTTGGCTACTGTCTAAACTGACCCTGTGTGTATGTATGTGAGATAGGGACCTTAGATTCTAAGCGCCTTGAGGGCAGGGACTGATGTGAATGTAAACTGCTGCATAAGATTTTCGGCACTATGTAAATAAAGATAATAATAATAAATATTGCCATGTGGACTCAACAACAGCACGAATATGGCATGGTATATTCTACGTATATATGGCATTCAAGTGGGTACTTTAAGTCTGTGTTGTGGTTGATTCAATTTAATTTATCCAAAGCCCCCCAAAAATGTTTTGTCTATAGACATATACTCTAAAAGCAAACCCTTCATGAGAGGAATATGGGGGATTCCATTGCTAATATCCTTATAAAAACTTTCCTGATCTGCATATTTGTACCAATTCTATTACTCAGAAAGTATTACAGTCAGGTGACCACCTGGCTGTAATACTTTCTAAGTAATAGAATTGGTACAAATATGCAGATCAGGAAAGTGGAAGACTTCCTTATCTGCATACTTGTTCTGGATTAGTGACAAAGTAGTGAAAGCTGAGGATCAGCATGACATCCAGGCAACTAGCATTTGTAGAAGCAGAAGCCAGCAATACACATAATGCTTTTAACAGAAGAGGATTTCATTTTAACACTCATTCGTTTATTATAAAAATGTCACATCTTAAAATGCTTATGAGCTGGAAATCGTAATTGAGGATGGATACAACTGGATGCTTCTACATTAGTCGTTAATTAAATCATTTAAGGAAGCACCAATCCCGGTTTTTCAGTATTGAGTACGCGTACTGATATTTATATTTTGGTACTCGCCGATACCGAATACTGATACTTCCAGTAGCATGGAGCCGAATCCCCGTGCAATCAAGAAGCCGGCAGCAGGGAATGACACGCTGCCCTGCTTCTTGATTGCCCGGGAAGCCAGCTCCATGCTGTTTGGCAGGGAAGCCAGCATCCCAGTCAATCAGCATGGAGCCAGGCCAATCAGTTAGCCGAGAGACAGGTCATTACCCGCTGCCTGGCTTCCTGATTGGCCGGGAAGCAAGCTCCATGCTTTTTGGCTGGCTCCATGCTCACTCACAGCACTGCCAGTCAGAGGAAATTTCCCTCTGACCGGAAGTTCTGGTATCGGGGGTAAGTATCGGAGCATTTGGGCAAGTACAGGTGCTCGCCCAAATACTCGGTATCGGCACCAATATTGATACTGGTATCGGTGCATCCCTAAAATAATTTATGGGAGCAGAAAAGGCAGTAAGAGCCCAGTTCTGTGTAACCAGTGTCCCAAATCAGGAGGGGTGACTACCTCAAGATCTGCAGTGTGCGGTGATACTAGTGATGGCACCTCTGAAGGACGGTACAGGGTGTTTCCCAAGTCGGGACAGGGTACCCAACGTGTTTCAAGGTTATGGACCTCTGATTTTTGCAGTGGGTCCAGCCCTTGGAACTTTCTGGCAGCCAAAAGAACTTCTACACAGCCCCACAGGTCATATCGTGCTGGACAAATCCGGCTGACTTGAGTTGGTGACAGTTTTTTTTTTGTTTTACTACCTTGTTGTTCCCCACTATTTTTATTGTTATTATTCTGCCTTGATTTCGGTCGTCCGTTGGTAGTTATACTTACATGTGCCAACGGATTTCCTATATTGACTGGAGTGAGCCCACTATTATGAACTCCTTTTTTACTACTTTCTGTGTATGTTCAGTTTTATTGCACTAGGTTTGTGTGTTCTCTTCTGATTTTGCAGTCAGGGGGACACCTGCCAGACTTTAGAGCAGCAGAACCTTTTATGACCCTTTCAAATTTTCCTTCACCTGCTAGGAGCAGTTCTCATAAAAAATCATCATCAGCAACCCAGTTTACAGAAGATCTCTCTCCACCAGGTAGAATATATATACCCAACTTATGAGATTTCCAAAATTATGCTGTGAAAGCCACTCAATAATTAAACCCCGCAGGGATGAGAAATATACACACCCCACAACCAGACTCCCAATCTCAGCAGCCTCACTTGACAAGCTGTGCAGATCTTTGAGGTGTATAGAGGGCCGAACCCACAAATAGGAGTAATCTGGAGACAGGAGGTCTGTAAGCATGCACAGGTGACCCTGAAAATGAAAAAAAAAGAAAGGAGGAATTACATTTTTATAAATGTATTAAATTAAATAAGTTATAATAAATGTATAGGAAAATTACATAACGTGTATTTAAAATAACTCGGGGATCTACATAGACCTCTTAAACTGTATGTAAACCCTAAACACGAAATACCTCTTGGTTTTGCCAGAAATCTCAGCTCATCACTTCCAGCGCTCTCTGGCTTTGCTGACGGTCTATATGCAGAATAGAAAAGTTGGCCATTACTGTCCACTGCCACTTAGCCCTGGATGTATATGGTGACCAGGTCTCTTTAAAGTGTATTTCCATTTTTGCAGACACAATAGGATAACACTTATATTTCTCCCTTTTTATGTAAAGTTTAGGAGGGGGCTGGGTAGTTGTGTTTGCCATAATTAACTTGGTCTGTACTGTGCTAGCAGATTTCGTAATCAGTTGGTAACCAGATGTGCAGGGCTGTCTGTCCTAACAAAGGGTATAAGATTTCAAGGCTTGGGTCAATGGACCAATAGTAAACTGCATGTCCACTTCAGGAACAAAAGTTTCTATTTGCATGGTTGAGCATCTCCTAGGGGACTCTAAATACATGCAGGAGCTTCTGGGTTCCTGCTTTTTATGTCTGCTACTGGTTTATTAGTTTGAACATGAATGCAGATTTACTTTAAATAAAACTTTCCCATAAAAGCTGCAATTAATGTGCAAATACAATTCATCTCACCTTCCTCAATATCAGTGTCTTCTCAATGTAGTCTTTATTAAACGTCATGTCTTTGTATTTATCCTGCAGTAGAGTCTGAAGCTTCGTGACCAGCTCTGCCCGACTATCTAGGTTGTCAATCCTCTTGGATAGATGAATCCTAATAGAAAGAGGACAAGATTTACCATCACAGATTACAAGGATTGCTGTGCACAATCATTAGGACTAGACGTGATGTTCATACAGAGTACATGACTCCTAAACAAAATCCAATCCTTTATCCAACATCCAGAAGGACTTTGCTACAAAAGCAATGTATAAATAACTTAAGCTGACCGTATAATCTTGAGGCAGCACAGTGGTGTAGTGGCTAGCGATCCTGCCTTGCACCACTGGGGGTCTAAGGTTTGAACCCCTGCCAGGTCACTATCTGCAAGGAGTTTGCATGTTCTCCCTGTGGTTGCCTGGGTTTCCCTGGGTACTCCTGTTCCCCCTACTCAAAAGACATGCTGGCAGGTTAATTGGCTCCTGTCTAAATTAGCCCTATATGTATGCATGTGAAATAGGGACCTTAGAATGTAAGCTCCTTGCAGGCAGGGACTTGTTTGAATGTGCACTATATAAAGTGCTGTGTAAATTTTTGGCGCTATATAAAAAGCTCTAATAAGGATAAATAAATAGATTCCCCCATCTACACTAACAGCGAGAATGAGGGAATCCAAGTGCAAAAAACAACCTGTTGATCTTGCTAGAAACCTTGTGTACTCTGCTTCTGCTGACTGTCATTAATCATCATTCCTTACAGATTTCTCTGTGGACTTTAGAAATCATCCCCCTTATGTTATGAGGAAGAAAAGGAGGAGGTGGTATGCGGTCCTGCCCTAGGGTGAACCGGTTGCTTAAACATAGATACAATGCATTGCGTGAGTTCTGTCACCCTAGGACAGTTACTGCATTACTGGCAGGATCACCAGGTAAAACTAAAGCAGGTAAAAAAAACAAAAAAAAACAACTAATGCAGCCACCACGTTAGGAGTGGTAATAAATTACATTTTTGTTCTTCGGTTTACATACACTTTATAGCTAAATTCATCATTCTATTGTACCCTAAATTGCAGTGCACTAAAGAAATCCTGCTTGCTGCATGTTTTGTGTGGGTTCCAGGGGAATGCCATTTCCTCAGTGATGAATAGTGATGTATGTGAAACGTGGCTAAAATGCGCCGCACTGGAAGTGAACCACATGAAAAGCACAGTGGTATGGACGTAGCCTAAAATGTATTTGCATGATACACAATATGTACTGATTCTGACACTCCATCATAAATGACATTTACCTGTTGTACTCGGGGAGATAATTCAGGTCTATGAGAGCTGAGTGAGTGCCGACTCTTTCCAGATCATACTGCTCTATTAGTTCAGGCAGAGTACGGCCCATCTGATTTCCTATATGAGGGGAAAATACAACACGTGAGATCTGTGAAGGCCCGGCTTCCATCTGTACAAAGTGGAGGCAGAGAACGTTACCAATGAGCAGTTATTCGGCCCATCATTGCACCAGGCTGTAATGACATTTTTCAGCCATGAGGTTTACATGCATCCCTGCCTTACCCTAATGTTCAGGCAAGAATAACATAGGTTATGTAAAGTGACACTAAACTCAGGAGTTAAATCTTAAAAATGCACTCAAGTACCTTAACTGGCAACAAAAATGTATCTTATTTGTGTATCACTCGGCTGTAGATCCTCAAATCATCTCTGAATTGGTGCTGACACTGTCCTTCCTTCTGGAGGGGGGCTACTTTTGTTCCCCATAGACCCTGTATGTGTTGTAAAGTAGTCACCGCTCCAAGCTCACTCCCGGGATGGACCAATAACTCCAATCTCATTGGAGACTACAATCTCATGTTTAGTTTACTAATTTGTATTGAGATTGTAGTTCATCATGGGAGTGAGCTTTGAGCCGTGACTACTTTACAACACACAGAGATCATGGGGAACAAAAGTAGCCCCCTCCAGAAGGAAGGACAGTGTCAGCACCAATTCAGAGATGATTTGAGGATCTACAGCCGAGTGATACACAAATAAGATACATTTTTGTTAATAGTTATGGTACTTGAATGTACTTTTACGATTTAACTCCTGAGTTTAGTGTCACTTTATCGTTTACGTCGAGCCAAAAAGTTTCTTAGTTTTAGGGGAAGGATTAGAACTTCTTTCAAGGTTTTACTGCTATTCAGGGCGCCAATAGAAACATTTACTCTAACTTCCTGTATGGCTGACAATTCACTAGACAGGAAGTGAGGTTAACTCTTCAACAGCAATAGAGTGAAACAAAAATGCTTTTCTGTAGGGTAAGGCTAAAACCCGTCAGATTTTAATTTCTTCTGTGTGCCTGTTGCAAGTTTTCCCTCAACACTTCTCTGGTGAAAACACTGTCAGCAGGACAGGAAGTGAAGGTAAATTTCTGTAATGGAGCCCCAGAGAGCAGTAAAAACCCAACAAGAGATCTAATTCTTCCCAACACTTTCAAAAGCTTAAGAATAAATAAAAAACAGGGTCATAGGGTATTGAAGCAGACCTAAGACTTCCGGTCCCGGCTCCCATGTAAGTGGCGGCGGGGAGACAGCGCTCCGTCCCCAGCACTTACCGACTTACAAGTACCGGCCACCGGCGTGCCCACACGTAACCTCGAGAGGGTTAGGGGACTCCAGGAGACCGCATGGATCGGTTCCTGGAGCCGAAAGGGACCAGCTCACGATCGGTCCCACGGGGGTTGGAAGGGACACAGGCACACGCTGCAGTCAAGATAGCGGCCGCGGCTGACAGGCTGAGCCACAGAAGCCCCTCTCCTACCTCCTCCCTGGCTGATTCCCTGGACGGCCCCACATATGCCCGTATAGCAGAGGCAGTGGCCAGGCTCCTCAAGCCCACTATCACAGGGGCTGTGGGGGCAGCAATGCAGCAACGGCTACTCCAGCTGAGACAGGAGGTCTCAGCACAGGCACACTCCATCTCTGTGGCTGAACAGAGGATATCCAGTGTGGAGGATGATCTCCTGGAAGCACAGGTTAAGCTGTCACAATACGAATCAGTGACTCTTTCAATACAAGCGAAACTGGATGACCTGGAAAATAGGTCCAGGAGGAATAACTTGTGGATTGTGTGACTCCCGGAAGCGTATAAACCGTCAATACTCGCAAAAATCTGCGCCTGCACAATCCTGGAAGCCCTCCATATCCCAGTGCCATGCATGGTGGAAAGAGTCCATCGATTGGGCCCTCCTCGAGAGGAAAACGCACCACCACGACCGGTAATTGTACGCTATCTCAATTATGCGGACAGGATGAGAGCGTTGCAGCAATATCGTGCGCAAAGATCCCTTGAGGTTGCAGCAGACCTAAAAATCAATAATGCAATTGCCATCTTGACCATCTCCCCCTGGTATAATCATAAACAGTAAAAGGTTGTCTATCTTCTTGTGGTGACGTTTAGGCAAAGCTAGCTCATTAGTGCTCAGCCTGAACATTGATTCTCCCCTTAAAGAACATATTTAATTAGACAGAGGGTTAATTCTGCAGGCAAGGTTCAATTTAGGGCTGCAAACAACAAATTGATTAAAGGAGAACTATGGGGTCAGTGTTTTCCCCCATAGTTCTCCTTAGGGTAACGGGAGGACACAAACTAGCGTCCTCCCGTTGCCCTAAGCTCAGTATACCGCGAGCTGCAGCTCGCGGTATACTGAGACGCCGCACCTGGAGCGGATCCCGACGTAGATGACGGGATCCGCCCAGCTGCGTGTGTGACAGCTGGCTCTGCCTATCTAGAGGCAGAGCCAGCTGTACCCGCCCCCTCCCCCGTCCGTTCTGCCAGTCAGCGCTGGCGGATCGGAGCGGGGAGAGGGGAATCCAGCCCCTCCCCTGTCACGGCAGAGAGCCGTGACAGGATCGAGAGGTGAGCGAACGCCGGTATGTGTTCCCTCACCTACCCGATCTACTGAGCCGACCTGTGACAGTCTCATTGTCACAGGTCGGCTTAGAACTATGAGGTGAGTGGAAATCACTCATCTCATAGTTCTCCATTAATTGATAATAATCGATAATGAGAATAGTTGTCAACGTTGGCCCTAAAATTATTGCTCGCACTTCGACGTTCGCAGCGATATGTAACATGTGCGGCCCAATTGTTGTAAGTAGGCGCACCCGATGCATGTTTGCGTGTGTGTATGTGGGGGGCGGGGACTTAAAACATTTTTTTATGCCTCTTCTCCAAGACTCCTAATGTCACCTAGTGACCGCCAGAGAAGCGGATTTTTCAAGCCCTGGTAATGTGTATTACCAGTTGACAGGTGTACTTTACAGCGTCTCTGCACCATTTTGAAGGTTACAAAAAAAAAACCTGCAAAAGACAACAGTTAATACTCACCCGTTCCTTGGATCACTTGTATGTTAAAGAGCTACTGCTTACAGCAGAATCTTAAAACAGAACTCTGGGTAAAAATGTCCTAACCTCTGCAGTGGGGCTTCCCCACGATGAGTGCATTGGATGATCGGATGTGTATATCTTTGTTATTTTCTTAGCCTAAACGGAAATGAGCACTTAACCCTTGCAGTGCCGGGGTAGCCCCACTGCAAGGGTTAAAACATTTTTTTTACCCGGGGGTTCTGCTTTAACATCTGACACACTGAGAATGTGTCAGATGTCTGTGTCCCCACACACGTCTGGTTCCTTCCTCTGGCCCCTACATCACCACAGAACACAGTAGTGATGCATAGGCCTACAGGAAGTATCACAGCACAAAGCGGGGTGACCAGGGATCTGGCACACCTAGAAGTATGTCAGATGCAGAATACTGTTCGGCAGGGCTAGCTCCTGGAACAGCAATCCTATAGATTAGTATAAAGTCTTCTTTTGCAGGAGATTTCTTTATGGAGTCAGAGTCGCTTTAAAGAGAAAAACAACCTGAATATGCTCTGCATATCACTTTCACCATTGTCTGTTATTCACCCTCTGCCATGCATGGGTTCTATGCCCATGTTCTTCAGAAATGGACACCTCCCGCTTTTCAGTGTTACCAAGAAATCCTGATCCACAGTTTGAAATAATGTCGAGCAGGGTCTCCGGCAGGTATCCACTCTTGGCGTAGTGCTGGATAAATATGTCCCCCTGTCGTTTGGACAGTTTGCTGCCATCTTTGTTGAGAAGGAGTGGGAGGTGAGCATACGACGGAGGTTGCCATCCCAATGCACGGAATAGGAGTAGATGCTTAGAGGTGGAGACCAGCCATTCCTCTCCTCTAAGGACGTGACTCACAGCCATTTTGTGATCGTCTACCACATTGGCCAAATGGTAGGTGGGAAAACCATCTCCTTTCAGGATCACCGGATCCCCTTCTATGCTTGCCACGTCATGATGAATGCAGCCAAAAAGCAAGTCCTTAAAAGAATGAGCTCCCTCCACCAGCTGAAACCGCACTACAAATGGCACATTTTTGGACAGTTTTTCCTGTATTTGTGCCGAGGATAAATGTCTGCAACGATTGTCGTACCTGCCGAGAGAAAAGAAAGCGGCATTATTATAATTCCTAAAATGGCTTACTGTAACATACTGATCATTACCAAAGATGCTCCTACCTTGTCATATTCAGTTAAAGAAGAACCCCAGGAAATGTTTTTATTAAAAGGAGAACTATGAGGTGTACAAGAGTTAAGGGCTTTATCCCTGCACCCATATGACAGATGACCAATTGGTTGGTAGGCATGGCAAAAAGGCATGCTATGATCGACAGAGGAGAGCGGGACGGGGACAGGGGAGAGTGGGATGGGGAATGTAGCAAGCTGTTAGGAACCCACTGTAATTCCTTCTTGGGAGCTACAATGCTCCCAGGCATCACTAGCTATCCTCACATGTCCATGATTAATCTGTGTTAGAACTTCCCTAAGGGAAGCCTGGCACTGGAGGGAATGAGTCACATGATCCCCATACCCACAAGTGCCGGCTACGTCTCTTTGCTCCAAATGATGTGGTACATAAAGGAAGGTGAGTGTCCAGAGGAGGGCTGAAAATGAAAGTGAACCTATATTGCTCTGCCCCCCCCAAATTATCCCCCTGGCGGACTGGCATTTGGTCATTAGGCAGGCGCAGGAATGATATCATAGCAGTTTCTGCTCATCTTTTATCATTGATATATTTAAGCTGGGCATACACTGTGCACATTTTGACTTCTTGGTAAACCAGCCTTCCGCCCGGCACCCTCCAGTCACAAAACGTAAAGAGCCGGTTGGAAGATTTGTAGGTGAACACTACAGTGATGTCAGCCAATCAGCTGCTATTACTGTTTAGGTATTCTGACAGCAGAACGGGGGGGGCGCTGGCAGGAACGCCAAAGGTTGCAAAGAGCTTGTGACCCAATAAGATGCCGCCTGAGGTCACCTCTTCAGGCTGCCTCATTATACGGACAGCCCTGTGTAACAGTGTATGGTCAGCTTACGGGTCAGTTTAATAAAGTATCCTTACTGCAGGATCACATAAAAGGAAGAAAGCCTTTGCTCCAATATCCCCTAGGTACCATTCACAAGACCACATGACAAGTCATTGGTCCAATTATATCAGCACAAGGGAAGGGTCAGACTTTAACCACTTACTGACCAGGGTGTTAAACCCCCTTCCTGGCCAGGCCATTTTTCAGTAACAAAGTTACTCACTGACCAGCTCTGCTGGAACCTCTGTCCCTTAATCTTCTCAGTCAGGCTAAATGTTTTGGTATTTAGTACCCAAGTTCTTCAGGACTTATATTTATTTGTCTCTTATCTACATTAAGTGAAGTTAAGGGCTCAGGAGGGCAAGTTTAAAAGGGGGTCCTTCACATAGCTATGTCTGCTTTGAAGATAAAATTGTCCAATCCAGCTGTTATTAGTTAGATTTGGCAACAACCGCACATGTATGGGAGGGGATGTGTGGATTGATAAACCTTTTCCCATAACTATGGTTTGATGCGGAGATCAACAGCACGAGGCGTGTCTCCATTTTGTTATCTCCTTCTCACTACACAGCACAGAAATCCACACTCAAGTGACAAAAATGTACATACGCCAGCAAGAAAAAAGCCTCTGCTGACAGCGGGGCCACACTTGCATGTTCGGCTATAATCTGATATCTATGGTCACCTTAAATGGTATGTCCGGGCATTACGCAAATTTTAACAGAGACTCCCTCTCCCCTCCAGAACATGTCCAGACATATTTCAGCGTTTCTCAAAATGTTTACAGTTACGACACCCCTTAAAAGCATGCAAACTTTTGAGGCACCTCAGCCTAAAATGTAAAAAAAACTAATTAACTCCTTAACTAATTAACACTAATTAACCCCATGCAAAAACAACAAAAAAGTTAGTTCCCCTTTTATATCAGAGTGCTCCCTTCAGGCACCCCCCTTTCACATTGAAGTCCTCCCTTTCACAATAGGAGCCCCCTCCTTTCATATCAGGACCACCCCCCTTTCAAAGTAGAATGACTTTTTGCAAGACTTTGGAGGTACCATTGAGAAAGACTGCTCTATTTACACCGATGCACTTTGGTACATTGTGGCTTCAGTGCATTGTAGGAATGCTGCATGCCTTAGGTGTATTTTATATGCATTACTATTCATCTCTATGCAATGTACGTTTTAGTGGAGACCACACACAGCAAAGATGCAGCAAAGCAGGAATTTTCCAAACACACAAAACCGCTGCATTAGAGTGAATGGAGCCTAACAAGGGGCGCCTTTCGTGGTGCAGACAAATTTATTAAGATCAGAATAGAAGATAAATATAAAACATACTCACAAAATTCATGATAGAAGTATAAAAAGTGTATAAGTTAAGTCCATGGACCCAAGGTGAAGTCTATGAAAGCTGCACAGCCGTGTCTATGTGTCAGCAGGAGACTGTGTGCTGTATGATGACGCGTTTCCAGGGTCACGCCCCCTTCATCATTTTGTGAGTAGGTTTTATATTTATCTTCTATTCTGATCTTAATAAATTTGTCTGCACCAGGAAAGGCGCCCCTTGTTTGTGTTTTTTCCCTAGATTTACAGTCTCCCCGGCTGATTTGGGGCAGCATCCTACAGACACACACATTTTTTAAACGTGTTTTTTATTTTACTCAATCACCAATTTTTAATTCAATCATCAATTTCCAAACAGACTTTGATTCTAATTTTATTAATGTGTGCATTGGTTTGTACTGGTTGAGCAGTCCTCTCTGGCGCTTTTTTGTTTTTTTCTGAATGGAGCCTAACTCAAAATATGAATGTTAAAAAGGTCAGCTAAAAGGAGAACTATGGGGTTGTCTTTTCCCCATAGTTCTCCTTAGGGTAACGGGAGGACACAAACTAGCGTCCTCCCGTTACCCTAGGCTCAGTATACAGCTCGCTGTATACTGAGACGCTGCGGTATACTGAGACAGCGCAGCTGAAGCGGATCCCGACAATTGTGCCGGGATCCGCCCAGCTGCGTGACTGACAGCTGGCTCTGCCTATCTAGAGGCAGAGCCAGCTGTACCCGCCCCCTCCCCGTCCGTTCCGCCAGTCAGTGCTGACGGATCGGAGCAGGGAGGGGGGAATCCAGCCCCTCCCATGTCACGGCAGAGAGCCGTGACAGGATCGAGAGGTGAGCGAACGCCGGTATGTGTTCGCTCACCTCCCGATGTACTGAGCCGACCTGTGACAGTCTCATTGTCACAGGTCGGATAGAACTATGAGGGTAGTGGAAAGCACTCCTCATAGTTCTCCTTTAACAAAGAACATTGTGTAAACAGAAGTGAGCACCATGAGGAATATTTATAAAATACATGTCTACACAATTCATATTTATTTACTGTGTATTTGTATACATTCATTATACAACTCTGCACACAAGGAAACATTGTCATACCGTGGAGTCTCTCGGTTTCTCAGAGCTTCTTTCTTCAGCAGCTCCAGTCTCTGCGGGGTGCAGAAACAATGGTAAGCCGCCCCACTTTCCAAAAGAGTCTGTGTAGCCTCATGGTAGAGATTTAGCCGCTTGGACTGTTCATAAGGGCCAAACGGTCCCCCTCTTCTTGGACTCTCATCTGGTGGAATCCCTATGATAATGAAAATAATATAAGAACAACTACCCCAGTCATATGTAGAGTCTTTTAAAGGGAATGTCTAATGGCCATGTATTTCTACTCTTCACTTATTACAGTCAGGACCAAAAGAAATTACATTTTTGCCAGGTAGATTGGAAATGTTGCTTATTCATTTTGCATTGACATTTCCTCCAGTAGATGGAGCTCTTGGCTGCTTTTCACATGTTTTGAAGACTATTCTTATCTGCTTCATTAACAACAGCTTGTTTTTACCAGAGCTCAAGATGTAAATATGCTAAAATGTACGAACACACACAAAGGTGATTCAATTGGGACAGTGATTCATCCTCTCTAGCTGTTTTTTAGACAGACATTCTCAAGCTCTTCCTGGTAGAAGTCAAGGCATTCCCAACTGACTGGCATGTAAAATCCGCCTTGTAGTAGATTATACGCAATGCAGTAACAGCAATAGGTGCAGAGCGTATAAGTGTCTGTATCACCCAATTAAACGGTGAACAAGCATATACCTGCCCACTCCAACATGTCTTCTATGCCTTCAGCTGCTCCAGGAACCAGGCGGCTCCTGTCTGTGTCTTCGAGTCGTAGAATGAAAGATCCGCCATGCTTCTTCGCAAAAAGATAATTGTAGAGTGCGGTGCGCAGCCCACCCAAGTGAAGAAAGCCTAGGGAGAGACGGAACAGTAAATGCCAGCAAAAATGACAAATATAAATACCCAACATATAAATGAGGTAATATCAAACAAGGTGGCCAAGAGATCTGTTTTAGCACAGACTTCCCTTACTTTCATTAAATTCGTGCTGTTGCATTTCATCAGAATATTCTATGCTCCCAAATCTGACATGCTCACACAAGGCGTTTAAGCTGGCCATATACCTTACATCCAACGCACGTCATTCGTTGTGCGATGGTTGTAAAGTAATTAAAACGTCGTACGAGCTGCTCATCTTGGACAGGCAGATCGTACTTGCGATCATCTCAAGCCAGCCCTGCTGAGGGGAGGGCTTGCCGATGATTGCAATGCCGAGCGTGCAGTGTGCGCGAGCGTGCAGTGTGCGCTTGCGCACACCGGCCCTACTGCTTTCATCTTCCGAGCACTCTACCAACCCGCTGAAAATCGTATTATTTTCGGCGGGTTTTCCAGCGTGCTAGGAACACGAAAGTTGGCGACCGTACAGTAGATGCGGTCGCACGTTGCCCATACACCTGCCGATTATCGTACGATAATCGGCAGAAGTATGGGCACCTTTATTCTCAGAGATGGATTTCTGCAACTGGATTCACATGTGGCTCCAAACAGCTGCTTCTGCTCAGCCTGCACAAAGCAATGACAGGCTCGGAGGTGATCACAACTGGAGCAATAGCCCCCGGTTGGAGACAAATGATCACGCCTGGTCAATTCTTTGTATGGGTTAAGAAGCCACAGCTGTCTCTGGCTGCTCAAATTTCAACTTTTTCTCAAAAGTCAGTAGCTGCCCCCTTGTTTCCCTCTCTAACCATTGGCCAAATGTGTCCAGAGGGCAGAGATTTAGGAAGCAGGATGGCAAGGGGTGGCCTGTGATTGACCTTCTCTATGCTGTTGGAGAGGCAAGATGGCAGCACCCAACTAGCTCTCTGTAGACAGAATGGAGTGCAGTTTCTGCTCATTGATTAGGCCAGCATTTCTCAAGCTTATTTCAGTCACGGCACCCTTTAAGAAAAATCAAGAGGCGACCCAATCTACAATGTAAAAAAAAATAATGTAAATGTAAACAAGAATGTAGCGTCCCAACAAAAACCATACCAGGCCCTTCTACAATACCAGAGTTCTTCTTTAAAAGCTAATACTTGGCACAGGTTTCTGTAAGCATCAGAAAGGAAACAGTTGCTCTAAAGGAGAAGTTTGGGGTGAATAAATGTTCCATTTTATATTCTCCCTGATCCTTTAGCGTACTGAAGCGGTTCCATGCCGGTGTTCTATCGAAAGCTCCAACTCGTCAAAATCTCCAACTACCTCACTGCCGTGTACTTGCAAGTTGTAGATTTCGTCCAGACGGCGTTAGACTGCAAAACACAAAGACTGGCGGAGCTCTGTATAGTTGCATTTTAACAATATTCAGCAGGTGGCAAACTTGACAATTATTCTGAAAACGCTATGCGCGCATTCACAACACAACTGTACAGAGCGCCAGTCTTTCTGAGGAAGTAAGGTAGTTGGAGATCTCGATGAGTTGAAGCTTTCGATAGAAAGCTGGCTCCAAGACTGAGAGCTGAGCGGTCATGTGACCTCTGATCTGTCAGCTTATGGTCTTCTCGCTGCAGAGAGCGCTGACTGTCAATTACTACCCCCTGTAGGGATTCCCCCTCCCCTCTGTTACTCCAGCACTGATTTGAGGGACAGACAGGGGGCAGGCACAGCTGGACCTAGAGAGGTAGATCCTTCAGTATCCTTCTTGACCATGGCATGACTCTCCAGTATCTTTGGACTGTGGCCCACAGAAGTACATTAGTAAATATACTCCAGTGACCCAAAAGAAAAGTAAAGCCACAAAAAGGACTAGCTTTACATCTCCTTAAAGCGGTCTTTAACTCAAGTACAAAAATGTAATATGGCAGATCACCGGTCCTTTGATCAGGATTATTTCCTATATATTCACCTGGTAGGACACCTCCTGTCCTAGAATGACAACGCTCACTCACCGTACTGTATAGAGAAGCGCCGTTGTCACCGTAGGACAGGACTACAGGACACAGCCCCCTGTCCATAACATAGGGAGCTGGTGTTCTGTAATGGTCAAGTACAAATCACAGGTGACAGGTTCTCTTTAGGTCTCTGGCATTACCTGTAGGGCTGGGAGCAAAGCGGAGCCTAACTTCATTGTGTGTCCCTCCAGAGCATGTTCTGGTACCCCGGGGCACAGCTGTGCACACAGCCCTGAGTAGTCTCATAACCTCACAGAATGTCCTCGGCCAAGCAGCGCCGCTAGCACCTGGGTTTCAGCCTGTCACTTCTAATTCTTATTTGTCCACAAAAGTGTCTTCAGTAAAGGAAGCATTTTGTCGAAGTCTCCCCCTTAGCTTTCAATGCTTTATCTACAACAAAATGTCCGCTCAACCAGACTGCACTCGGTGTTCTATCGAACATCGGCTCCAGCTGCCAGACGGTAGACGCTCTGACCGGCCTCTGTTTGTCTCTATGGTATTCAGACATCCAAGCGGCTCTCTTCCGGTCCTGGCTAGGGCTACAGTTGCCGGCTGGGTCCAAAGCGGCTGATTGTGAGTTTCCCGGCAGCCCTCGCGCTGGAGACTTGTACACAATCATCATGGCGTCCCAGGACGGTGGGTACCGGATCCCCCGAGGGCAGAGCGCATGTGTGACCCTCTTTGGGGGTCGCCGGGCGCATGCTGCTGTTTGATGGCCTGTCACTAGCTCTGTGATGACAGGTGACAGCTGCCCTTTTCCTGGGCTCTGAGACCCCCTGACAATGTCTTCCTGCTCACCCTTCCCTTTCTGTACCCTTCTGTGTGCCAGCCTCACCACCCTGCCTGACATGTGTCCTGTGTGAGTGTCCCTCATGTGCCATCTGTCACCTATACACATCTGTTATAAGTAGTTCCACTCTAGTGTGCCATCTGCTCCCTGTGTGTCCAGTATGTCTTTTCCTATATAGGTGACCACCTTCTGTGCCCAGTCTGTCTTTTCCTATATAGGTGGCCACCCTGTGTGCCCAGTCTGTCTTCTACATAAGTGACCACCCTGTGTCATCTGCTCCATGTGTGCCCTCTCTGTCTTCTCCTATATAAGTGACCACCTTGTGTGCCCTCTGTGAACTCTTTTGCGTGGACAACCCCTCTGTGCCATCTGCTCCATGAGTGCCCATTCTGTCTTCTCCTACATTGGTGGCCACTCTGTGCCATCTGCTGTCTGTATGCCCTCTGTGATCCCTTCTACATGGGATACCACCCTGTGCCATCTGCTTCCTGTGTGCCCTCTACATGGGTGACCTCTCTCTGCCATCTGCTTCCTGTGTGTCCTCTACATGGGAGACCTCTCTCTGCCATCTGTTCCCTGGTGCCCTCTGTGTCCCCACTACGACGGGTGACCACTCTGTGCCATTTGACCCCTGTGTGCCCCCAACAACGTGAATGACCACTCTGTGCCCTCTGCTTCCTGTGTGCCCTCTGTGTTCCCACCTACATGGGTGACACTCTCTGCCATCTGCCTGGCCTAACCTCTCCTGAGGTGCCAGTCATTCACGGTTATCTGCAGTGTAAGGTGCCATGTGTGTGTCATGTGCCTGACATGGCTGGCCATTTGAGTCATCACCCTGATGGTATTTAGTTTCATTTTCATTCTGATGCAGTATATTTGTGAGTCGTGCATTCTTCCTCTGTGTCAGGTATTTATAGATCCGCTTTCCTGTGTTATTTTTCCTAACATCCTTGTAGATTGCCCAGCCTGCCCGTCTCAGAGAAGGTGGGGGGAGGGGGCTTTGAGGCAAACCTCGGAAGAAATTGGAAAGTTTATTGCTACCCGCCTTTCCTGTTGGTAACACTGCCACCATTTATTTTACTGGTGCCACAGGAACAGGAAGTGAAGCTTAACTGAACAAACTGAAGATAGAAGCTGATTGGTTACTATGGGCAACTGCTCCAGATTCTACCTGCTCCAGTTTTGATCAATTCCCCCACTTGTATGGGAAATGGGAGCTCCCAATGTTGACATGGTGCAGACCTTTTAGCTGTCATCCTGGTTCTTGCTCAATACCTCTAACAAGCATATATGACAGAAATTGACATTTTGTTTCAGACCATAATGCCTGCCTTCTTGTTTCAGCCTAGCCTAGCAACTCACTAGGCAGTAAAGTCAGCATACTCGCAGATCAAGACAGAACACAGGAGTATTGTCACTGTGGGCCAATCTGGCCGTGTTTTCTTGCCCAACACTTGCTATCTTCAGCCTCTATGATCTAGAGGGAGGTGCTCAGGCAGCTTACAGAATGAGGGCAGCAGATCTGATTAATAATACTTTTTATAGTCCAACACACATGAAGGTGACATTGGCAGATAGAGAAGTGCAATTGGGAATAAAAGGGTCTCTTTTCTGGCTATTGAGTGTGACAGATTGGCTGTCTTAATACCCCGAGTCTGAAGACCAGCACTTCATGGCATCCCCCTTTCTATAAATCTTACAATTCTATATTCTCTATTGCAGGGGAAGGCAACCTCAGCACTCCATCTGTGCTGAAACTTCAAAACCCATCATGTCTCTCTCTCTCGAAGAGTCATTCCTGTGGCTGTCAGTCTTGCAATGCCTCATGGGACTTGTAGTTCCACAACATCTGGGGTGCTGAGGTTTCCTACCCCTGCTGTATTGTTAAAAGCAAACTTCTTCTAAAAGTGATACATCTGGTTTACATGGCTGCTGGCAATTTTATTTACAGTCTCCAATAGAAAAACAGCCCCATCGGAATCCCTGCTTCAGCAAAACTGATGACCCCCCCGCCACACACACACACACACACACACACACACTGATTAGATCCTCTACAATATAAGATAACTAATTTGAGAATCGATCTTCAGCAAAGTAACATCTTTTGGCTTCACTGGGGTGGACACAGATCTTTGAAAGATATCGGAATTTCAGTGTTCCCAGAAGTACCTAAAGCTGAAAATCTTTTGGAAGACGTTGTGCTTTACATGAGCAGTGCCGAATCATTGAAAGCCTATCTCCACCCTTGCACTGGGGCTACTCTGCACTGCAAGGGATAACTGCTCTTTAATGTTTAGGGGTATTCTGTAAAGGACTTTTATTTCCCTGATCCTCACTTCCCCTCTGGTCCACGCATTGGTCGTCTTACCTACGCTCTGGCTTGTGGACTGTCTATTGGCATCCTCATGTCTAATGCAGGGCTGGGATGATCACTGCCGGAGCACAGGGCGGAAAGGGTTTGGGCGCCGGTTTTGGAGCCAGCGTGGATCAGGTAAATAAAAGACCTTTACAGAATACCCCTAGAGCAGTCAAACCCCACTACAAGGGTAGTTTTTTTTTTTTTTTATCTGTAGATAAGTTTTAACCAGTAAGTTGACCAAACTTGGGGATGTTGCTTTTAGCAGCCTATCGGTTGTCTAGTTTAATTTCTTGTCCTGCACTTAGACACTCATTGCTGTACCAAAATAACCCAATGAATGAATGCTCATTCCGAATATTAGATGATTTTTGCTGAACCATCCTAAGAAAGTTTGCTTGTTTTTTGAAATGCTTATGGATCTACTGATCAATTATTTTCTCCCAAGATTCACACAAGATTCAGTTAGAAAAATGTGAGTGGAAGCATTGATGTATAGACGCCATGCTTTTTGAGCTTACACATATTGCTTCATTGGGTCTTGTCCTGCAAAAGTACTCACATGCCTAGTGAAGCATCCCATAGCGACCACACTTGAGTTTCACGTAGTCATCGCCGTCAGTGAAAGATAAAATATGATTGGTTGCAGCAAGTTCCTGCACTGTGCACGTTATTCTTTGCCTTTTCTAATGAAGCCTGGAATTGTATTGTAATTGTAATGTCTTCCTTTATTGTAAAGCGCTGCGCAAACTGTTGGCGCTATATAAATCCTGTATAATAATAATAATGTGGTCCTAGCATGAGCTGTGTGTTGGGATGCATGGGAAGAGAAGAGGCCTCTGATTCTGCTGACACCATTTGATCAACCAGTGTGGAATAATCTGCTTTGTACTTTGCTGCCCTCACCGGCTCTCCTGTCTTTTTTTTTGCAGAAATGGAAGAGCTGGGGATGGAGGCGGATGGACAGAAGTTACTGCTGAACTGTGCGGAGGGTGAAGGCACAAGTTCTCAGGACAGCGGCTCCGCACAGCCAGAGGCAGTCAGCAATGGAGAGGAATCTGAGTCAGAGAAAGAACTTGTGGAGTTTAAGATCATCTGGAATAAGAATAAGTATGATGTGAAGCTCCCTTTGGACAGCACCGGAGCAAGCCTTAAACAGAAGATTCATACACTCACAGGTTTGATTTCTTTCATGTGCTGATATCAGGATTGCTGCACTGGGAACTATGGCTTTAGAAAAGGGATAGACCATTTAGGATATTGGTTCTTGTCAGCAGTATGACAGGCTACAGCCTTCTTGCACTGCTGTTTTATTCCCATGCAGACCCATGAACTTATCTCTGATAGGGAAGACATAATATACAAGTGTCAAAAATGGAACAGAATGACTGCCAGGCAGCTAGAGTTTCTAGATGGCAGATTCAGCAGTGGGACACTACATACTGCTCATTCTATAGATTTACTTGAAAGTGACTCATTTAAACACTGGGTTGTCAAGGAGTAGCATGTATACTTACCTTTGTGGTGGCCCATGTCTTCAAATTCTGCTGCTTCCAGGTCGCTGAGGTATTCCACACTTCTTGGTGTTTCAAAAACCTGCTCCCCCCTGCTGCACGCTTTGGTTCCTCTCACTGCCTCCTACGTGCTGTAGTAATGTACGAGCCAGTGGGAAGAACCAACGTGTGCTGTGGGAGGAGCGGGTATTCGCATATTTAGTAATTTGGCATACCTGCAGCGGCCGAGGGGCAGCAAAGTGGCGACATTAGGACTTGCACCACCCCAAAGGTAAGTATATATTCTGTTTATAACCCAGGCGGCTTTTACCAGTGACCCTGTGATGATGACCCTCCCACTGGCTCCCGGGAGGAACATCTGTACATCCGTATAAGGGACTGAAGACATCTGCTCGTTTTGGTCTAGAGGATGAATTAAGGTCCCATTCACACTGCATCGTACTGCACAACACATCTACCGAGCAATAACTATGCGGGAGGAGTGTTGCGTTGACATTCATTTAAATGACAAACCAAATGCACCTCTGCCTGCAATGCGATCAACATATGGTTCCGCAATGTGGGCGGGAGGTGCATTTGGGGTGTGATTCAAATGAATGGCAAAGCACCTCCTGCACTGTTAACGCATGGTAGGTGCGTTGTGCGGTACGATGCATTTATCGCATGGAACCATGTGATTAACGCATTGCACCAGTGTGAATGGGACGTGAGAGAGTGAAGATACTCACCTGATCATCAATCGCTTCTGGCTGCTAGACCGCTCCCTACAGCCTCTTCTGCCCTTGGCTCTGGCGGTCTAAGCCCCACTTAGGTCATCGTGTCTATGCAAGGTCCATTCACTTGCAGTAGATATGAGGATACTGATGGATATATCACAGCTGAAGCGGAGGGGAAGAAAGGTAAACACTCACCATCGCAGGACCGAGGTTCAAGTGAGTATATATTCTGAGTGCTGGCTCCTAGACCAAACGAGCACTTAACCCTTGCATTGCAGGGATAGCTCCAAGCAACGGTTCATTTTTGCACATCCTGGAGCTCTGCTTTAAAATGAGCAGCCAAACGTTTGTTTTACAATTCAGCTGCCACCGATTTGCTGGAAACCTCTTATCGGATATTTCTGACTTTCCTATTCTGACCTTTGCAGGTCTTCCACCAGCTATGCAGAAAGTCATGTTTAAGGGGTTACTTCCCGAAGACAAAACACTAAGGGAAATCAAAGTCACCAATGGAGCAAAAGTTATGGTAGTAGGATCCACCATCAACGATGTGTTGGCTGTTACCACACCCAAAGAAACCATCCAACAAGAGGTGAAAGAAGAAGAGAGCAAGAAGGAGCCATTGTGCAAACAGAAGGTATGTGTAGGTCCATTTACCTACGATTCGATTAATACCCCAAATTAAACAGATCTTCTGGTCATCCTGATCCCCCTATCTAAGACCCCATTCATACTGAGCGACATGGATATCGCACGTTTTTCCACGCGATTTCGTGCTGAGCGGCTAGAGCTACAATGCGCGACAGTGCACATTTTATCGCGCTACGTAGCGTGTTTTTTGGGCGTAACTTCGTCGCTGCTACATTGGGCTGTAACCAATCAACAGCGATCTTGATGTGACATCATTCTTTCCTTCCATTTTCCAGTGCAAAAGTGACCCTTCTGTAGCGAGATATCGCGCGACAAAGTCGTGCAATATCGGCAGTAATGCACGATTTTGCACGACACCATAGTCTATTGGAGCCGAATCGCGTGACATCTGCGGAAAAAAGGGTCATGTACGAGCGACGAGCTACAGGCGACATTGAGATGTGAACAGCTATATTGAAATGCATTGGACGAGTTACATAGAGCGATATCGTGCGGAAATATGGGGCCTAATAAGCTATGTAAAAGTATTTGAAATGGCAGCATTTATTTATTTAAGCACTCACTTCGATCAGCCTACAAGGCCTTGGCACTCCAGGAAAAGGGGGATTAGGATGACAGGCTAGGAAAACCTGTCAAATATGGGGTGAAAGGTTCACTTTAAAGTGTACGTCCAGCCATTTTTTTTTTGTTCATTTTGGATAGGATAGCAATGGAATGGATCAGAACTGTTGGGTTTTACTGCTATCTGGCACTCCATTAGAGAGATTTTCCTTCACTTCCTATTTGTCTGACAATTGTTTCACCAGACAGGAAGTAGAGTTAAAATCCGCAAGGTGCAAGAGCACAATCAGAAAGAAAAGGCTGACGGGGGTTCTAGCCTTTCCCTACTCTACTAAAAAATAAAGCAAACCATAAAGAAGAGCCAGGAGAAGCAGCTGCGGGCACATTTCCATATGCTGTAACAAGGAGACCTCCAGGCTGACAGCTTTTATGTACTGGTTTTCCTGAATTGTGAACTATCCCTTGCATTGTCTTGTATGATGTACCTCTTGTTACATTTCAAACCTTGATAAAATATTGAAAATGAAAGCGTGTGTGTTGTAAAGTAGTCACCGCTCCAAGCTCGCTCCTGTGATGGACTACAATTTCAACGCAAATTAGTAAACTAAACACAAGATTGTAGTCCATCACAAGAGCAAGCTTGGAGCGGTGACTACTTCACAACACACACAGGGACCATGGGGAACAAAAGTAGCCTTCTCCGGAAGGAAGGAAAGTGTCGGCACCAATTCAGAGATGATTTGAGGATCTACAGCCGAGTGGTACACAAATAAGATACATTTTGTTAATGGGTAAGGCACTTGGATGTATTTTTAAGGTTGAACTTCTGAGTTTAGTGTCACTTTAAGATTGGTTACTATGCACGGCTGCTCCAGATTTTTTCTGCTCCAGTTTTAGTAAATTCCCCCCAATATGTTTTGGCTACAGTTCAACTTCAAGGTGAATATACATAATTATTTTGCTTACTGTTGCTCTGAACTCTAATCTTCTAATTTTATATGATTTTAGCAACATAGGAAAGTGCTGGATAAGGGAAAACCTGAAGATATAATGACATCTATAAAAGGAGTGCAGGTAAGAAAGTCCTTTAGCATATCACTGCTCTGGAAACCAGGACAAGTGTACAGCCATCCGTCATCTAACCTCAGCAGCTGTCCAGTGTTCGGGGAATTAGGGCAGCCTCTTCATTAGGAGCTACCAGTGGTGTTTCCAGGAGTATGTGAGTGGAGAGGCAGTCCTTTGAATGACAACGCAAACAATAAAATGTAATCTTACATGATATCGCATTTTCACTGATGCTGGGTCAGTTTAAAGAAGAACTCCTGGCAAAACGTTTATGAAACCTTGCAGTGGAGCTACCTCCGCACTGTAAGGCCTCATTCACAGGAAAAAAAGGCCTGCACGTACAGCTCCGTGCTGCGTGCACGGCCATATTGAGCAGCTCCCGGGAAGGACAGGTGCTGCGTGTGATTAATACGCAGCCTCAGTCCTTCTGTATGGGAGTATGTGGCCATACATCGCCCTATGCTTGCCCCAAGTGCAGGTCCGTACAGGTGCGGGTGTCCCGGCTCAGATGCAGACAGGATGCATCCTGTCAGAGTACGAGTACGGAAACCCGCACGGACGTGTAGGGCGGTGTACGGCCGCGTACTCCCATAGAGAAGGACAGGGGCTGTGTACTAATCACACGCAGCACCTGTCCTTCCCGGGAGCTGCCCAATACGGGCGTGCACGCAGCACAGAGCTGTATGTGACGGCCTTTTATCGTGTGAATGAGGCCTTAGGGTTAACTGCTCGTTTTCATCTAGGTGTTAAAATAAAAAAAGTTATACTCGCCCAATTCTCCAAGCCGGCTTGTTCTTAACCGGACCTTCCAGCCTTGTTACCCCTCCACTGCAGCAGTCTAAGGATACTTGGGTCTTCATGTTCTATACACAGTGTATTGAATGTGAGGACACTGAGGGACATACTGTCGCTGCAGAGGAGGAGAAGACAAGCTGGAGGGAGTGCCGAAGACAGCTGGCTAGCTCCACGGTTCAGATGAGTATAATGGTGAGTAGTCTCACTGCAAGAGTTAATCAAAGTTTTGCCCAGAGTTTTTCTTTACCCCATCTTTCATATGTAATTTGTTTTTACCTTTCAAAGTTTTATTAGGGTTTTAGCTGAAACGGCATAAAAAACACAGGTACTTACAGGATACCAAGGTCTTAGACATAAGCAAGAGGTCTTTCCAGGAAATGGCTATAAACAGTGTACGTTTAGTGCATTGTTGAAAGCTAGCCATACACTAATAGATTTCTTTCATTCAGCCTGCGAGCTGAATGAACGAAATCTAACAGTTTCCTCCATCCATGCTAAACAGTATGGATGGAAGAAACTCCCCCACAGTGGTGTTGTATTCTGACAGCTGTAATTGGTGAGGGTGCTCTCCGCACACCATTCAGCAGTCCCGGCCAGTAGAGAAGAGGTGCTTGCAGTAACTCCCACGGATGGCACCGTGTAATGCACAAAGTAGAAAAAGTAGGTTACCAGCACTCAAAGTAATTTCAAATAGATAAGTCCTTTTTATTGGACATACGTGTCACAATAGTCAAACAGCCAACGTTTCGGGCCACGCAGGGTCCCTTCCTCAGGGCAAAAGATTGTCACATCTTTTGCCCTGAGGAAGGGACCCTGCGTGCGTATTTGAAATTACTTTGAGTGCTGGTAACCTACTTTTTCTACTTTGTATTCTGACAGCTGGCATTCACTGCTGTCAGAATACCCGACCAGTGACTGCAGCTGATAGTCACTGTTTTGGCTTCTTCTAATCAACGTTTTTTTGAGCCGGTAGGGTCATCCGCTGTTAGAACTTCGGCCGATACATGTGAACCCGACAAATTGTAACAGTGTATGGCCAGCTTTAGATGGATCAGCTCTTGTATATTGAATCTTTGACCTAGTCTTCTGTTACAGTGAAGGTTTGGAAGCAAGCGTAGCTACTTTGTGTAAGTCCTGGGAGAGACTACTCAGGGTTTGCCATGTGGTTAGACTTGGTATAGAGGGAATGTAGAGGAAATATTGAGGGATAGGGATGTGGGGAAGATTAAGATAAATCCTTCCCACATCCCTCAAGAGCTGTACCATTCCAGCCTCTGCGCCTCCTCCATTGGGGTTGGGAGAAGGATCCCCTAAGATGAAGTAATGTGCAGTAAGTGGAGAGCATCTTAAGTCGTGTTTATACTGTTTAGAATAGTGGAAGGATAACCACGGAAGATGGGTAGATGCAAAGTTTTCGTCTTGATTGTAGAGGGACATAGCGAGGTCTCCTGTGTTTTAATGCGTATTTAAATATGTTGTTTACATGCATTTTGGTGTGGTGCATTTCACATGTGTTGCGTTATTGGAAGTGGGAAGATGTTTCCTGTTTTTTTTTTTTTTTTTAAATAAATTCTTTATTTAGGTCAGGTTAACAGATTATTTGTTGTATACAGAAAAACGGAAACTGTGCCCGTGGGGACTCGCAGTTCCGGGCGCTTATGGTATACATGCATCAAAGCATCATCAAGAAGGTAGCATACATGGTATATTGAAGCATGAGAGAACCCCGTTGGCGTCAACGCAACGCATTTGAGGGGCGGGTACCCTCTCGCAACCCCGGCCTGAGTGTGGGGGGTACAGTCATGGGATGTTGCTGATGTTACCATGTTGACGGGGGAGAAGAAGGAGGAATTTAGTATAAACACAGAGGGTGGAGAGCACAGGACAAGACAAGAGAGGGGGAGGGGGTGCAGAAGGGGAGGAGGATGGGTAGGTCGCTACATGTCATCGCCACAAGTTAGGAATCCATGATCGTGTGGTATTCCGAGGTAGAGGTATAGTCTATCCAGTAAAACCATACTGCTGAGAATTTGGAGGAGGTGCCTCGGATGGAGCTGGTGAGGTCTTCCATGAGTCTGATGTCGTTTATTTTGGAAAACCAAAGCTTGACCGAGGGCTGTTAGTCTCAGTCTAGGGATTTTACCAGCCCAGATGAAATCAGAAACCAATTTTTGCAGTGATCGGAAGAACGCGCGTGGGATCTGTACTGGGAGGGTCTGGAAGGGGTATAGGAGCCGTGGCAGGATATTCTGCTTAATGATGTTAATGTTTCCTGTTTTTAACCAACTGCACCAATGTAAAACTTTAATAAGATGAGTTCCATTCAGAATAATCGTACCTGATTTCTGGTAAGGGAAGGGTCTTTAGTGGTACCACAGTTGGCAATACATGTTGCAAAATTATATTTTAAATACTTGACAGCTACAGTGTTGGTTCACTGAGCAAAGGTAAATGTTATTTCATAGTTGTCACTGCAAAAGCCAAGGCTAACGCTCACTTTGTGTGTGTTACAGGAGCGCCTTCCAACTACACCCATATCCGGTATGTACAATAAGTCTGGGGGGAAAGTCAGATTGACGTTTAAACTGGAGCAAGACCAGATATGGATAGGTACAAAAGGTGAGTAACAAAAGACCGAAGTTTGGGTTACATATAAAAGAAAAAAAAGGGGCCATTTCACCCAAAAGTGATGCTTTCATTATAGATGAAGTCTAGTGTTCCGATTTCAGCCCATGGCATCATATATGTCTTTGGATGCTGCAACAGTGAGATCTCCCTGCCATACTCTGTTCCTGTCCACTTTGATATCTTAGATGTTTTTGCCCAACTGTGGGTTGGTTTAAGTCTTAGGGCTCATTCACATGGTCATGCAGGCCCATGCAGAGACCTGCTCCCGGGTGGGACAGGTGCTGCGTGTACCTGCATGCAGAAGCCTGTACCTCCCTATGGGAGGATGCAGCTGCATGCAGCTACACGCCGACCAAAACCTGTACATCCGTGCAGGTTCAGGTGCCCGACATAGACGGTGTGCATCCAAGTGTGAGCACCCGGACCTGCACAAATGTTCAGGCCAGTGTGTAGCCAAATCCTCCCATAGGGGGTACAGGCGGCTGCATGAACCTACACGCAGCACCTGTCCCTCCCGGGAGCAGGCCTCTGCTCGGACATACACACAATACGGATGTGCACGCCGGTGTGAATGAGCCCATAAGCAGCATACTAGTTTTGAGTGGAATGGCATTTTAAATATTCAGTTATTGGTCTAAAGAATTTAATTTAAATAACTACCAATATCTTACTTCTGTATGGTTCACCGGTCACATGGTCCACCAGCTTCCATTGCTGGTGTGTCTTTTTTTTATTGCATGTATTTTGTGCCGACCTGGCATCGATCGAATCTGCCATTCACTTAAATAGGGAAACGATGAACAAACAATCAAGCATTAATGAAGGTAGAAACATTATATTACTTTGGACTAAATAAACAATTCAATATAAATAACTAACTGATATAGGAATACCCAAAAATAAGGTCTGTAATATAAATGAATATAATACTTGGTAAAAAAAACTAAAAATCGCTTTAATGGTGCAACAGTAATATTCAGCTATGAAATCCATAAGTATAAAATTATTTTTATGGTTAAATGTTTTTGGTTTTGCGCCATTTAGGTTATTTTTAGGCTTTAGTGCTGTATCATAGTTATTCATAATGAAACATTAATGGACCACTACAGCCTTGCATTATTCATAAACTGATAGGTTATTTGTCTGGTACTTACATACAGCTCAAACAAATCATCTGTAGTTTTAACTTGCTAGTACAATCCTTGCATATGATTTTTTCAAAGCTGCCATTATAACCATTTATGATTTAGGTGACATCATAGGTAGACCTCAACTATGAGAGACAAAATGAGAAAACAAATCCAGACAAATCACATTGGCTGATTTGGAACAAATTTATTTGCAAATTATGGTGGAAAATAAGTATTTGGTCAATATCAAAAGGTCATCTCAATACTTTGTTATATATCCTTTGTTGGCAATGACAGAGGTCAAACGTGTCCTGTACGTCTTCACAAGGTTGGCACACACTGTTGCTGGTATGTTGGCCCATTCCTCCATGCAGATCTCCTCTAGAGCAGTGATGTTTTGGGGCTGTCGCTGGGCAACACGGACTTTCAACTCCCTCCAAAGGTTTTCTATGGGGTTGAGATCTGGAGACTGGCTAGGCCACTCCAGGACCTTGAAATGCTTCTTACGAAGCCACTCCTTCGTTGCCCGGGCGGTATGTTTGGGATCATTGTCATGTTGAAAGACCCAGCCACGTTTCATCTTCAATGCCCTTGCTGATGGAAGGAGGTTTGCACTCAAAATCTCACGATACATGGCCCCATTCATTCTGTCCTGTACACGGATCAGTCGTCCTGGTCCCTTTGCAGAGAAACAGCCCCAAAGCATGATGTTGCCACCCCCATGCTTCACAGTAGGTATGGTGTTCTTTGGATGCAACTCAGCATTCTCTCTCCTCCAAACACGACGAGTTGTGTTTCTACCAAATAGTTCTATTTTGGTTTCATCTGACCATATGACATTCTCCCAATCCTCTTCTGGATCATCCAAATGCTCTCTAGCAAACTTCAGACGGGCCCGGACATGTACTGGCTTAAGCAGGGGGACACGTCTGGCACTGCAGGATCTGAGTCCCTGGCGGCGTAGTGTGTTACTGATGGTAGCCTTTGTTACGTTGGTCCCAGCTCTCTGCAGGTCATTCACTAGGTCCCCCCGTGTGGTCCTGGGATTTTTGCTCACCGTTCTTGTGATCATTTTGACCCCACGGGGTGAGATCTTGTGTGGAGCCCCAGATCGAGGCAGATTGGTCTTGTATGTCTTCCATTTTCTAATTATTGCTCCCACAGTTGATTTGTTCACGCCAAGCTGCTT